GTCGGCGGCGGCCGTTGTGGACGCCTTTGTTCAAGGCTACGTCCTGGACAAGGGTGCACCAGAACGGTTGCTGACCGATCAGGGAAGAAATTTTTCAGGAGCCTTGCTGACTGATGTGTGCCGCCTGTTGGGCACTAAGAAAGTGCGCACTTCGCCCTACCATCCCCAGACCGACGGCATGGTGGAGCGCCTTCATAGAACTCTCACCGCTATGTTATGCCATCAGGTCGATGAATCCCACCTCGATTGGGACTTGCAGGTTCCGGGGGTCCTCGCCGCATACCGTATGGCACCTCACGCGGCGACGGGATTTTCCCCGTTCTTTCTAATGTACGGCAGGGATGCCTTTCCTCCCGCCGACGTTCGGCTGGAAATCGAACAGCCACCGCAAAAGTCAAAGCTCGTTGACCACTTGCGATTCAACCTCCGTAAGTTGGCCGAGGCACGGGAGGCCGCCATTGAAAATTCGGCTTCCCGCCAACGGGCGAATTTGCGACTGCGGGACCCTCGGTCGTACACGCATCGGTGGGCACCGGGAGATAGGGCATGGCTCCACTGCCCCCAGGTGCCGGTGTCCACATCGGCCAAACTTCTCAGACCATGGCGAGGCCCGGTTGGGGTAGTGGAAGTCCTGCGTCCCCAATGTGTTAAAATTAGCTGGGGACGGCGTCGCTGGTGCGTTCACCCTTCTCGGTTAAAACCCTTCGTCACGCCACGCGTCCCTCCACAACACACACGACATGGGGGCCGAGTGTGCGACGCGTCCGACGAGCCGGATGTTGCCCCGTTGGTGCCTAACCCACAGCGCAGGCGTGTTATTCCTCCTGCAGATGACGTGGGAGTGACGGCTCCATGCAGGCCACGTTCGGCCTCAATGGACCGTGGAGCAGCACGTGTCCCCGTGGAGATGCCTAAAGGCCCACCGGATGCTCTGGCTCATCCTCCTCCTTCCCTTGTGCCGCCGACAAAGCCTGCCATCCCCTACGATGGCCCCGCGAAACGCACGCGCGCGAAATCTCGCCGGTTGTTATAATGTTTTTTTGGCATGTCTTGTGCCTTGTACATACGTTATGTTGTTAAGGGGGGGTATTTATAGGGGCTTAATTGTTCTTGTTGTTCGTGAGGCACACTCACAATTCTTCTACCGTTGGTAATTTCAAAGTTTCCCATTGTTGCAGCCGGGACGGCTGGAGCTTCCGAAGGAGGGGGTGATGTAGAGGTGTTAACTACGAGCTGTTGCGTAACCTGCGTTGCCACCAGGGCGGTGCAGCATTACCCCTGGGTACAACGGTTGGGGTCAGTCGAGGTGAAACGGATCGTGGCCAGGGTTTGGTGCGAACCAATCAGACGGTTCCACGTGGGAATGTATGATTGGTTCTACCTGGCCACGAAGGGGTATAAGACGGGTGACCCAACGGACCTGGAGGAGTTCTCTCCCTGCACGAAGACAGAAGACTGGGCTGAAGCCTAGCTAGGACCCTGGACCAGCCTTTCAGCCCTTCTAAGGGCTAAGGCTCGGCATACCCAGTGGTCAGGACCCACCGGGCCAGCGGTGGGTCAGATAGCCTCCCCTAGGTCCTAGCCGGAGGACTAGGATAGCGGTAGACGTGTGAGTCCCGCCAAGTCCGGAGGTTGTACCTCCTTAGGTATCAAGGAGGTTAGCGGTAGACGTGTGAGTCCCGCCAAGTCCGGAGGCTGTACCTCCCTAGGGTATCGGGTGAGGGGACCGAATATCCCTCTGTGTGTGTTAAGCATTGTATAAGGAAATAATACAATAAACAGAGTGTGCCTCCAAAAGAAGTCTGCTCGTCCTTACAACACTACATCTGTATGGCTTCATGAACAAACCTTTGATAGTAGCGCGAAGGTTTGCAGAGTACCTTGGTCTCGGAAAAAACAATATCATGCGAGCCCACAGCGTTATAACAATGGTCAGCTATGCCAGAGTTATTGGTTCTGCCATGTTCAGATCTGCCTTGTGTTTGCGAACACGGTCCGAGGCATGTCGTTTCGTTTCCCCAATGTAACTGCTGCCGCAGGTACAACTCAGTTTGTAGACTCCAGGGTATTGCATGTCACGAATGACCTCCTTCACAGATGGGATTAGATCACGGATTTTGTGTACTGTATTGAATCGGACCTGGATCTTGTGTTTAAGATATGATTGGAACCTTGTAGATAACATGACTGTTTCTTCTGCCACAACAATGTCCTCCAAATGCAAGGTTAACCTTATTGCTAAATTCAACAACTTGTCAAAAAAGAAACCAGTGCCACACATTAGAATGCTAGATGTTAACAAGACTGTTATCAGAGTGGATGATATAATTGCCCAGGTAGATGTAGCCCTCAAAGGATTGGGACACATCCCAGCTGACGTGGCAAGATCTGAAATTGCCACCCTCCTTAAAAATGCTAAGAAACCCATTAGAAACATCGGCAAAGATGAGCGGTCTGAACCCAGAGCTTTCGTGACTGCAGGGATTCATATTCTTGGTTCTTTCGGTAAAGTCACGTAGAAGGGAAACAATAAAATAATAAAAATATAAAACAATATTGTAGAAGGGAAACAATAAAATAATAAAAATAGGAAACAATATTGTTTTATATTTGTATTATTTTATTGTTTCCCTTCTACGTGACTTTACCGAAAGAACCAAGAATAAAAGAGGACATAGTCATCCTCTCAGCCGACAATGAGCAATACTACTGGTTTACCCCGAGCCCTCATTCCTTTGATAGTGCATTGTCTTTGAGCTGTACGCCTTTTGGCGTCCTCTGGTCTAGCACCAATTGAGACGAGGCGCAAAAGAAAGCCGTCTATGGTGTGGACCAATCAGTTTCAAGGACAATGCATATATTATCATAGTATGTTTTTTGTTTGCATTTTGACTGCAGGTATTGTGGTTAATGCGGACATGAATCCTCGTAAAAAAAGGTTTCAATTTTGTTGCCAGAAAATTTGGCGGAAAATCCCTATTATTAATGCTACTGTCATCATGGATAAACCCACATATAACAACAAAATCCAGGACCATAATGATGGCAGTTACACCAAAATTAACAAGGATCCTACCAACCGCCTGGCTACAAAAAACAACAATATCATCAACAATTCTACTTCTCTAATCGAACCATTCAAGCGGCTCTCCCTAAAACCCTCTGCTGCGAGACCACCCAGATTCTATGGTCGTCCAAAAATCCATAAAGAAGGTACTCCACTTTGGCCCATCGTTTCCACTATCAACTCACCTACCTACAAACTGGCCCGGTTTCTGTCTGAGACCTTGTTTCCATTCATGGGCAAGACTACCTCAGCAATACATAACTCAGCTGACTTGCTCTCTCTAATCATGGGCATTTCACTGTCTCCAGATGATTTGCTTGTTAGCTTTAATGTAGTCTCTCTGTTCACCACGGTTCCTGTACCTGACACCTTAGCAATAATTTAAGACTTGGTCCAACATGGACTGAATCCTGATGTATCAACTTTGGTTAGGCATTGCCTTCATAACACTTACTTCACCTGGAATGGTACTTTATACAAACAAACTGAAGATACTCCCATTGGTTCCCCCTTATCACCAGTGATAGCGAATGTTTTCATGGAGAAATTCGAAACAGTTGCCATCCAGACATCCACCCTACGTCCTTGTGGAAGAGATACGTAGAGGACACTTTCGTCATTTGGCCACATGGTTTGCCAGCATTGAATCAATTTCTCAACCACATCAATTCCATACACCCATCCATCAAATTCACCATGGAAGTGGAGAAGGATGGTAAGCTACCATTCCTGGATGTTCTGTTTGAGAAGAGGCCTGACGGCTCGTTGGGACACTGTCCACAGGAAAGCCACCCACACAGATTCCTATCTAAAACCTGATTCCCACCACCATCCGGCACAGAAGAATTCCCTCATCAAAACACTACACCATAGGGCCCACTGCATCTCCGACCAACACCACCTAGCCAGTGAACTGGAACACGTACACCAAGCCCTCAAGATGAATGGGTACTCAGACCACATTATTCGCAAAGCTGTTTCTCCAACCATGGAGAAACAATCTCCTGAGAATCCAATCAAAACCATCACTTTACCATACATAGCAGGTGTTACCAAAAATATTTCCAAAATCTTAAACAAACAAGATCCAGGTCCGGTTCAACACAGTACACAAATCCGTGATCTAATCCCATCTGTGAAGGAGGTAATTCCTGACATGCAATACCCTGGAGTCTACAAACTGAGTTGTACCTGTGTCAGCAGTTACATTGGGGAAACGACATGTCTCGGACCGTGTTCGCGAACACAAGGCAGATCTGAAACATGGCAGAACCAATACCCATGGCATAGCTGACCGTTGTTATAACGCTGTGGGCTCGCATGATATTGTTTTTTCCGAGACCAAGGTACTCTGCAAACCTTCGCGCTACTATCAAAGGTTTGTTCATGAAGCCATACAGATATATAAACATAGACAAAACTTCAACCGAGAAGATGGATACAAATTGAACAATCATTGGAAGGATGTTATCAACCAGGTAATGCCTTAACTTGTTGTTTCCATCATTACCTGCCGGTTTACTGCTAGCCCCGCCCACGCCCCCCCCCAGCCTCACGTCCTCTCCCCTAGCGCTCACGCGGCTCCCCGCTACCCCACACCCCCCCCCCCTCTTTCTCCCCTCTTGCCTCCTCCCCCCTCTCTTACCTATATAACCTCTTGCCACGGCAACTCTCCCACCAACTTCAGCATTTTCTTGCTGTGGTTGTCCCACCTGATGAAGATCACTTGTGTTGCGATCAAAACGTCATGATTTGTTTTATTTTATTTCTACTTACGTGACTTTACCGAAAGAACCAAAGAGAATGCATTGTTACATTAAAGCAGGGTACCGCCTGCATTCTAATTTTCCTTGAAGTCTGACAGACACCTCAGCAGTTGTCATTGCAGTGTGGCATCGTGGTGTTCTCACAAGGACCCGCTTACTTGTTGCAGATGACAGCATCGAGGAGGCCATTGTTGAGGCAATGAAGGGTCTGCGGCAGAAGGTGGCTTCTCCATCAGTGGTTTTGCACGTGGAGAAGAGTGCCGTGTTCGTGTGGCCTCATGCAGGAACCTCCACCCTCCCCGACCAACTCAAGGATGACACTCCATGCCGCGTCCTGTTGCAGTTCTCGACGTTAGTGAGGCGCTTACCAGTCCTCTTCTTGCACATTCTCTTATTAATATCGCTTTCCAACTAATGTTGAATGCATTCGTGAATTAGCTCTGTCTATCCGACTGTAAAAGGGGTCACGATAACTCGTGTAAAGATGATCAAATTCAAGTGTAAATTTGTATTGCTAGCAGGGACTCGCTGTATAGAAAATCGGCAATTTGATCAGAGGGTTGCCTAAAACTTGGTGATAAAAAACATTAAATGCATTCCACTTCGGCCAAGGCAATGGCACATGACGCTATTACACTAGTCATTGAGTAGAGTAGTAATTTTTTACACATCCTATTGTAGAGGATGGGATGGAACAGTAGTGTAGTGTTGAACACGGAGACAAACACTTTTTCTTGGAGGCAATACATTTATTACAACACCCCAACAGGGTAACCACATAACGTACACTGGTTCTACATCTAGGTAATAACTACATGGTTAACTAGACCACAACGGGGTAACTACATTACCGGGTCAGTCAGTATCACACTGCCTGACCCACGATGTCGAGCGTAACATCGAAGACTGAGGATCGAAGAGACGTAGCACCGACGGGTTCCAATCCAACAGAGCCTCGATCGCTCTCAGGACTTCCCTTTTATGCACCCGAACGTGGTCTCGCTCCGCCCTCGGCCACGCCCCCTTCTAGATCCTACTATAAGGCTCTGGGCAATATCACGTGTCCCTCGAGCCCCCTTTCGAGCCCTCTTGGTACCCTGCCCCCGTCACGTGCCCTCTCGGGTTCACACAGAGTATTATGATCTCGCTTGCTCTCTCTCCTACCCTCACCAGAACTATGCCCCCTAGGGCCCGCTTCCATACCACATCCACTCTGATGCCAGAGAGAGGCTCAAGACATACAGTTCCACTCTTGTTACAGTAGTTGGCGCTAAATACCATAGGGACTCCATATAAGTCACTACAGTAGTAAGAGATGAGAAAATCAAGATAAGGTGGGACAAGACCATGAAGGGATTTATAGACTAGAGTGAGAAATGAAAACAGGCAGTGATAGTAGGCAGGTGGCCAGTGGAGTTGGGAAAGTCGAGCAGAAGTATGGGAATTGTGGGTTAGGTTAAGACTGGTCCAGGCTGAGGCATTTTGTATCTGTTATTGAAGAGGAGTGGAGGTGTAGGCAGGAAGGCCGAGCAGAAGAACGTTCTCACCTGGTTGAGCAAACTCAACTTGAATACTGCCTGCTGATATTTGTCAACAACAGGCCCTAATGGAGAGGATCTTGGCCAATAAACATCTAGAGTATCTGGCAGTTGAGCAGCATTGGTTTAAGCAAGCCTGACTGTTGATGAGACACGGATTGTTGAAACTGGTCGAGAGTTTACCTTGTGTTGAACCAACGCTGCAGACAATTAATTTCCAGAAGGCCGTACGGCCGATAGGATTTGTAAAAAAATATTTAACTTTTTTTATGTTGAGAGACGGATATGTGAAGGAGGCATATTTATTGTCTGCTTACTTATTTGTTGTTTTTAGTAAGGTCAGGTGGCTCACCGGTGAGTACCTCAGAGTGGGCAAAATAAACACCACATTCTTGGGAAGTAAACAGTGGTTATCCTATGGATAGACTGTCCACCATCGTAAGAATGTGGAATATACACCACTGTCTCAGGGTTCTAAATGTGAGATGAGCACCAACTTCATGCTAATTTGAGCAGTAAATCACAGTGAGAAAGGTCAGATTAAGTGATATACAGAGCACCTGCCCATTTGCTGAACGTTATCTTGTGAAGACAAAAGAGTGAATGGTGTTTGGGCAGGGATGCTGCTGAGACCCAAAAGAAGCTGCAAGGCAAGAGGAGAGAGAGAAAGATTCAACAGGTGAGTTGTGTGACCAGTGCTTGGCAAATTTGCTGTTGAGATCATGTTGTTTCACTGTTTATATCATAGCACAAGTTACACATTTCAAAATTACCCCCAAAATTGTAAATAAGTATCCCTGATAAACTGTCACCTCAATCTCCTGGGAATTTAATAACCACAATACTTGTGGTCAAAATGCTAACAAAAAACACACTGATAATATATGCATTGTCCTTGAAACTGTTTGGTCCACACCATAGACGGCTTTTTTTTGAGCCTCGTCTCAATTGGTGCTAGACCAGAGGACGCCAAAAGGCGTACAGCTCAAAGACAATGCACTATCAAAGGAATGAGGACTCGGAGTAAGCATCTACATCATTAGACCTCCTTTGCCAGTACTAAAATATAATAAAAGGGTTTTTCCCCTTTTTTTCTGGCAACAAAACTGAAACCTTTTTACAAGGAATCATGTATGCATTAACCACAATACTTGTGGTCAAAATGCAAACAAAAAACACACTGATAAATATGGATTGTCCGGACACGCCGGAGACGCATGTGCAATCACGGAACCCTCCTGAATGACCGTAATGTCCAACCCGGCATTAAGGACTTGGATAAATGGTGCCTGGTCCCGGGAGACCAGCATCTTAGCCGCTACGAGTGACATCCTCCGACTAAGCTTATTTGAGGGACCCAACACAATACTGTCCCCCACAGCGCGCGCATCGAGCGGTTTACGAAATCGAAGGGGGCACCAACATTTGCGCGCCGGGTGGAATCCGCAGCGTTCGGCACGCAAGCGCTTGCACCGTGGCATTAGCAGAATACATGCGGGTCGGAGACGGGAGAAATGCCATACGCCGTCCCGACGGCAATTCCAAACAGCCCTGGTCGATACGAATCTTCAGAGGCATTTTGCCGAGAAAATCAGTGCACAGCAAGCACGGAACAGCCAGGGCCGTAGAAACCAAAACATGGCCCGACAATGTGACATGGGCAATGCGCAAGGTAACAGTAATCCGACCGATTATCCCCAACGATCCTCAGTTGGCGGCGAAACACGGAGCATCCACCGGCTCCAAAACCCGACACTGGGGGGGGCAAAATATTGTAAATGAGGTCGGAAATAATGGTTGAAGATGCACCGGTGTCAACAAGCATGCCAATTTCAACCCCCTCAATGAACCCAAGCACAGCCGACGACCCCGCGGTCGCCGCAACCACTCAATGTGCCAGCTCCGACCACTGATCCGGTCGGAGCGGTTGCGCATCGCGAACACGCACCGACTCCCCCTGAAACCGCGCGTGACCCCGACGCAAATCAGACCCCCCCGATGGGTGAAGTGAACCCCGGGGCTGAGTGTGAGGTGCGTCGCGCCTCGCCTTAGAGAGCAGGGAGTCGTAGGAAGGCGGACGTCCCGGGGGCCGCCGTCGAGGAACCCGGCAGCCCGATTGAACGTACCCCAGTAGGCCGCAGTTGTAGCACGTGACCCGTCAACTGCTGGACTGGGACGAAGCAGACCTCACCCGCCGCCGGTCGTCCCGCCGCCGATCGCCGTCACCCTGACGATCGCCGCTCCGCTGATGCAGCGAGCACGCGAGAGCAGACTCCTCGTCCGCGTGGGCCCTGGGCTCCGCGGAAGGCGCAGAGAACGCCACCAACACCCTGTCACGTTGCAGGGTCTGCTGCACCTGTATGCACCTGGCGATCTTGAGTGAAGACACCTCTCCGTCCTCGGCGGGGAGCACAGTATGGAGGTCTTTGACGAGTCCCAACATCTTCTCGAGGACCAAGGCGTCAAGGCCATCATGTTCCATTTTTGGGAACACGGCCTTTGCCAGCGCCAAGAGCGCACTTCGGTAGGTGAGAGCCGACTCACCATCCCCTTTGCGCCTCACAGTTAACTTCTGACCAGAGCGGCCATCTGGTCAAACGCCTGCATGAGGGTGGACCTCTCGGACAGCGGAATGGCGAGGAACGCCGCCAAGGCATCATCGTTGATGGCGGCGGGCAGCGCTTTCAGCGCGTTTCCCTCCGACCATCCCGCCAAGTCGGCATTTGTGAGAAATCGTCGCTTAAACACCACCCAATCGCCGCTGGCGACAACAAATTATTTTAATGAAGGGCAGTCGACGGCAGAGCGACTGGATGTCAATCGACGAGGACGTCCCCACTTCGAGCGTGAGCGCGGGCAGCGGCGATGGCATTCCCGCCTTCTGTGAAATGGCGTGGCCGAGTCACTCCATCCAGACAACTCCGCCGCTCCCTCCTTCTCCATTGAAGGCAGGGACCGCATCTCAACGAGGATCAAGGACACCGCTTAGAGGAGACGGCTGTGCGCATCCCTGATGAGCTCATCCAACGAAGGAGAGGTGCCGCACGCTACGGCAGAACTAGACACGGTTTGCTATCCCGGCCCGGACCACAAGCTGGGTCCTGGACCGCATGGCTAGAGGCTTCTTTTACCCGACGTGGATCTTCATCAGCCATGGCGGCGTTGCTCACCGGGCTGCGGCTGGATAAGCCACCGGGAGACGGCGTGTCAGCGCCGTCTCCATTGTGGCTGTTTCCCGCACGCGGGAAACCATGGAGATGCAGCCCGCGCGCACAGCCGACATTTTGTTGGACGAGCGGGACGCGATTCTTGCTATAATGGACCTCCCGTCAAATTCGCTTCAAGAAATCCCCACACTGAGGAAAAGGCTCCCCTTTGTGAAGGAGAGTTTTCAGCTGCAGGTGGTGACTGGGCGGTATTCCGCAGACGCTTCACCACCACCTGCAACCTTGCGGGATGGACGGAGGTGGAGGCGCTGCGGGCGCTTCCCACCTCGATGATGACGCCTTGGCGGCATTCGATGCCATCCCGCTGGAGGACAGGAGCACGCTGCGTCGGGCTCTCACCGAGATGGAGGCGATCTTCGACCCGCCATCCAACGTGCAGCACAGGTTTAGTTTGCTGCACGAAGGCGGGGGGAGGCCGGGACGCCCCTCGCTTTCCGCAGCGCACTCATGTCGCTGGCAAAGGCAGTGTACCCCAAGATGGACCATGAGGGGCTCGACTCCCTGGTCCTCGAGTGAATGCTGTCACTGGCCCAGGAACTCAACGTTGTCCTGCCAGCCACGGAAGAGGACAACTTGTCGTCACTCAGAATCGCACAGTGCCTCCAGGCACACTTCAATTTGAAGAGGTGGGCGAGCATGGCTGCATGCGCCGGACCCTCGGAGGTGATGGGAGCGCCCGAAGGCGCGGAGCCTTCCCAAGCCTGCGCTTCACTCGGCGGCGGCGGACGGAGGATGGACGAGACATGGCGACAAAGAGGGCGAAACCTCCCGAGGGCGACCTTCTCTCGCCCGAGGACCGACCCCGTCATCTGTTGAGGTGCGGCCCGCCAGGACACGTCTCGAAGGGATGCCGTGCCGAACGAGGGAGACTCCACAGCGCCGTCAGCAGCTACCCGGGCATCCTCCACTCCGCTGGGTCCTCAGGCGAGTCGCGGCACACCACACACACAGTCCTTGCAGTCACCTCATGCATCGTTTTCGCATCCGGATTCGCATGTTGTTGATTCTCGTCGGGTTGCGGAGTGAAAAAGTTTGATATTGGCAGGAAATGGGTGGCCGCGCCGTCCTGTTGAGTGGTTGGCATTGGGCTACCGTATTGTTGCTGCGGCAGCAGGATCATCTTCCATCATTGGTACCGTGCAGGGTATAGAGGTGCAGGTGCTCATTGATACCGGAGCATCTGCTACCATTATCTCGAAGATGACTTTCGTCATTTGCCGCCAAAACTGTGTGCCATCTGGCCCGTGGAAATTCCGTGTTTTGCCGCCAATGGCGAGTCCTTGGGGATTATTGACCAAATATCGGCCACGGTGTGCATTGGGGACATCCAATTGACAGGGCCGGTGCTTTTTTCGAAACCCCTGGCCGTGCCCTGCCTATTAGGAACTGATTTCCTAGGGAAAATGCCCCTGAAGATCCTTGTGGACCAGGGCTGCATTGAATTGACATCGGGCCGCCGAAAGGCATTTTTGTCCTCCCCAACTCGTATGTGCACGGCTAATGCCTTTGAGACTGCGGAAGCAGCTCGACCGAGAAGCGACCGCGGGAGGGATTCTCTTGGCCCCCTCGAACAAGGCGGTTCAGGGCCTTACATTAGTGGGGGCACAGACCTTGGTGTCAAACGACCAGCAACCTTTTATTCAGGTTTTGAACGCAGGTCTGCATACGTCCGTCATCCAAGCTGGCACTGTTTTGGCTCACGCGTCGATTGCGTCTTGTGAAGTTGATGGCGCCAGGGATGTGGGAGTTGTGGTGACTGTGGGGCAGGGAGAGAGGTGTGACGACTCAGGGTTGGAGGCACTCTGCTGCAAATGCCCCGAGTTGTCTGATGCATAGTGCCGAATTGCGTGCTCTTTTATTGGAATTTTCTGATGTTTTTAGTCAGGGAAAATTTGATATTGGCCGTGCGTCTCTGTTGCACCACCACATTGATACCGGGAGTGCCGCCCCCATTCGCCAAAACCCCTATAGACCCAGCCCTAAGGAAAACGACCACGTGTGTCAGGCGGTCTACGAGATGTTGGCCGCTGACATCATTTCCCCCTCTAACAGTCCGTGGGGGGCTCCCATTGTTCTTGTTAAAAAGCACAATGGGAGTCTGAGGTTTTGCGTCAATTTCTGCAAACTCAATATGGTGTCCGTGGCTGATGCGTACCTGCTCCCACGAATGGATGACTCCTTGAACGCTTGGTCGGGAGCGCGGTTCTTCTCCACCCTTAAGTTGTTGTCTGGGTTCTGGTAATTGCTTTTGGACGACAGTTCTAAACCAAAGACTGCGTTCCGCACACCCCAAGGGTTGTTTGAATTTAACCGGCTCCCGATGGGGCTCTGTTCGGCTCCAGCCACATTCCAGAGGCTCATGGAGCTGGTGTTGGCAGGTCTCCAATGGGACGGTTGTTTTGTTTACCTCGACGACGTCATTGTGTTTGGACGTACATTTGAGGAATATCTACAACGCTTGCATGCTGTCTTTCTCAAAATGCGGGCTGCGAACCTCTTATTTAAGCCACAAAAATGTCATCTGTTGCAAAGGTCCATTCGCTATTTGGGCCACATTGTCAGTGAATTGGGTATAGCAACGGACCTGGAAAAGACTGCTTGCGTGCGCACATGGCCAACCCCCAAGTCGGTGGGTGAGGTACGTAGATTTATCGGATTCGCCTGCTATTATCGATGGTTTGTACCCGGGTTTGCCACATTCGCTAAACCTCTCAACCTCTCCACGTCCTCACTGCCAAGGGTCAGAATATTCGATGGGGGGGAGGAGGAGGCTGCGTTTGTTGCGCTGCGGGATGGCCTGGTCAATGCACCTCCCCTTTGATACCCTGATTTTTCCTTGCCCTTTGTCCTTGACATGGACGCCAGTAACACCGGTATTGGCACAGTTTTATCACAAGTAGTGGATGGAGTGGAGAGTGTAGTAGCATACGGAAGCAGAGTGCTGTCCCCGGCTGAGCAGCGCTACTGTGTGACGCGCCGAGAGCTTTCACCCAACAATACCGTCCGTACCTCTATTGCAGACCTTTTGAGGTGCGCACAGACCATGCGGCTCTCCAGTATGCATTGGCTGTCGAGCAGCCGGAGAGCTCTCCTGATGGCTGGAAGTCCTTTAGGACTACTTCAAAATATCATACAGGAAGGGTGTTCGTCATGTCAATGCGGACGCACTGTCACGACTGTCACCAAGTGACCACTGTGTTTGCCTTACGGGTGCTGGGTGGTGCAAGCCCGCTGAAGTGGGACCATCCCCCACTGTGGTCACTTCAGTGGACGTCCTACACACAGGGACGGCTGAGACTTGTGATAACACGATCGGCCTCACCCATTCAGAATGGGGGCGACTCCAAGCGGAGGATGCCTCCTTGATTAAATTGAGGTGTCGTGCAGGGAACTCAGAGGGTGGGAAGAGCCGACGAGGGTTGTCCCCTCTGATCCTAAAAAGGGGTCTGCTAATACGGTGGGATGGTGAATTACAACAGCATAACATTGTGGTGCCCACCGTTCTGCGGGGCAAGGTTATAATGGCTGTGCATGAACGAGTGATGCACCTGAGTGTCCGCAAAACATTGTCGACTCTTAAACTCGATTTCTTCTGGTCAGGGATGGAAGGAGACATTTATAATGTTTTGAAAGGATGCATGGAATGCGCCCGCCGGAACCGCCCTCCCCCCCCCCCCCCTCCAATATCCATATCTGTGTCCCGAGTTAACGAACTCGTCGCGCTCGACATCCTTGGAGGTTAAGAGTCCACAGTGTGTGCGGATCCAGTCTGGTCGCCGGCGTTCGTCTATCTGTTGCGACTGAAACCGTTTGTTCCATCGGGCGGAATCCCTTCATCTCCACTACCCAGGGGCCGTGTGTCTGGTGTGTCCGGCGCGGTCGGGCGTGCATCCACGGAGGTTGTGCCTCAGGAGATTTCTGATTCTGCGTCCACAGGATCCCAGCACATAGCGCCCTTCAAGCCGCAGGTCGCACCAACTGGAGGTGGATTAGGAGTATGGAGCAGTCGTCACCCACACCTCCTGTTGCTGGACTTCCGTCTACTTCCCAGGATGGGCCTCACCCGTTTGGCCATCTTTAAGTTGTCCCCAGGACCTCCAGGGAGCCCACACCTACCCCACCTGGGGGTCCGGCGACAAGGGCCCGTTCAAAGACCGTTCACTTTAAATTACTCTCATCCAGTGGGAAAATTGTCCCTACACCGTCTGGTGGTCACACACGCGAGCCAGATGGGTCATTGGATGATCCTGGCTCTTCTTGTGCTCGCGGGTGGTGACACGCATACGGGGATAGGGTTGTGCTTTGTCTGGAGGTTGGTTCGGCCATTGTACATTGTTCACATTTTTCTTCTTTTTCCCCTTCTCCCTTTCTAGGTGATTGTACATATTGTTCATTAAACGGTTCTTGTTATTGTTCTATTTAAAAAATTTGGATGCTTGGTTCTGTTGATTTCGGGGTAGTAATCAGCCGGGATGGCTGTGTTTTATAAAGGGAGAGGGGGGGTGAAGTAGTGACGTAGATTGAGTCACTGTGGTGTTACCACTAGCCACTGTGAGAGGAATGTAACTGAGCGGAGCAAGGCCATGCTCCGGGTATAAGAAGGGGGTCCTGTGAGCTGAGCGGGGCTGTTATCTGGGATCAACCTGTCGTGCTACGGTCTTTGGTCTTCGCTCTTCGCTCTTTGGTCTTCGGCACGACATCGTGGACCAGGCAGCGTGTTAGCTGACCTGGTCCGATAATATCGTTATCCCGTCAAGAGTGTATATAGTTATGTAGTTACTCTGTTGGGGTGTGTAATAAACGTGTTGCCTCCAAGTTAGAAGTGTCTGCCTTCATGGAACCCACTACCGTAGTATCAACAAACTCTACAGTATAAATACTGACTTTACAGTATCTAATGACTATAGTAGTATCTACGGAATCTATAGTCATATATATTGACTCTATAGTAGTATCCACTGACTATTCCCCCCAGAGTGGCCTCGCCGTGCCCCCGGCCACGCCTTCTTTCCTGAACTGTCTCAGCCAATCCCGAACATCCCCCCATGGTTCCCTCCTGTAATTATCCCTTGTGACCACCTGGCCACGCACTGTCCCTATCCCCTTATCTCTCTCTTTCCGCACTGTCGCGACAGTATTAATTTACTCTATAGTAGTATCCACTGACTATAGTAGTAACTACTAACTCTATAGTAGTATCTGCTGACTCTATAGCAGTATCTGCTTACTCTATAGCAGTATCTACCGACTCTACAGTAGTATCTACCGACTCTACAGTAGTATCTACCGACTATAGTCGTATCTATCAACTCTATAGTAGTATCGAGTGACTCTACAGTAGATTCTACCGACTGCAGTAGTATCTACCGACTCTATAATAGTATATATCGACTCTATAGCAGTATCTACCGACTATGTAGTAGTAACTACTAACTCTATAGTAGTATTTACTGACTATATAGCAGTATCTGCCTACTCTATAGCAGTATCTACTGACCCTACAGTAGCATCTCCCGAGTTAACAGTAGTATCTAACGACTCTATCGTAGCATCTGCCGACTGTATAATAGTATCTATCGACTCTCTAGCAGTTAACTACTAACTTAACAGAGTGCTGTGGTGAGGCCTAGTCCCGTGCAGAGCCCCTGGCCTTGCCTAGATTGCCCAGCCGGCCGAGGTGGCACCGTGGCAGGCTGGGGCTGGGCCACTACCCCCCCCACCACTATCCCCCCGCCCGCTCTACAGTAATAGTATCTAAGGACTATAGTAGTATCTACCAACCCTATAGTAGTAACTGCACACATTGGGGTGGGGGGGGGGAGAAGAGGACATCACACTTTGAAGAATTTACCTCAGTGTTGTGTTTTTGTTGTTGTTGCATTTAACGCAAATGATAATTTTCCCCCACCCTCACCGATCGCGTGTGTGCTTTGCTAGGACAGCCACGGGTCAGCTTTTCTGCGCATGCGCAGATGCGTGCTTTGGCGCGCGCTCGGCGTAGTAATATATTAATAAATAGTCATAAATTTATCATTTAACTACTTTACAATTGACGTATGGGAAAAAGAAATAGTGATTTGTCGGTCAGGAGCTTATTGCGTCGTACGTTTGTAGTCTGTTGAAATGTAAAGCAGCAGTTTGTGAGTTAAATGCGTCACAAGGTGTGTCCACACACACACGGACACAGACAGACAAAAATTACTTTTATAGGTAAGATGTTTCTGAAAGGAAAAAACTAAAACAATAAAGGAGAACATTTTTCCTAGGTCTCCATTTCAAAATATATTAATTTCAGTGAACACTCACTTGGTTGGTGACATGGCCCAATGGCAACAAGCCACCCTGATTATTACTGTGGGTTTATTAACCATAGCATACGTGCTGTCTGCTTCACTGGTCGATAGAGATCCTGTGACCTCATTCACAATGAATAGGCCATGGTGTTTTGGTGTCTTGTCCAAATTTGCTAAATTAGAAAAATGACTCGCAAAGTCATGTAATTGGCAATACACATAACAACATTGTCCGCTATTGGGAGACTAATGTCCCTTTGCAGACCAGGCAACTACCCCTGGGGGAGATGTCAAATTAAATATCTTGAGATGAGAAATTATGTAAAGTGCTCTGCAACACCCCGATGTAAACGGGTGATATTTCAACACCAAATCACTATCATTATTCTCATTATTGGATGGTTGGATAGAGAACATGCAACCGATCCTCGCTCGCAGGCGTAACGCTGTGCCCTGTGCTGGAACGTTCAGCCGCTGGTGAACGTGAAGCTGCTGCTGGAGCTGACGCGGGCGGAGGGGATGGCAGAGCGGAGCCCGGCTCTCCACGTGACAGAGCACCGCGGCCCCGCGCACCTTGCCCGCCTCCGCCTCGACGTGCTCTCCACCTGCCCCGCGCTGCACACCTGGAAAACGTAGGGCACCCCCTCCGCCGTGGAATGGCTACTGCCGGTGGGCGGTCCGCGTGCATCGCGCGCTCATGGGCCCACATTCTCTATCGCAGCTCTAGCTCGATCTCCGACACGGCTCGCCTCAGGGTCGAGCCGTGCAGTCTATTTCAAGATGCAAGAATTAGCGGTTTGGCCGTGGCTTGGCTCGCATTCAGCTTGTCGGAATCCTGATCTTGGATGGAGCCGGTGCTCGGAGACGGCCTGAGTTGCGTGCGGCTTTGAACCGGCTCACTTGAGGCAGAGCCAAAACTGAGCAAAGCCGTGACAACAAAATGCAGGCCTTAGTTATTTGAAAAATGACAAAATAGCACAACGGTATTCAAACGTTTGAATTATTGTTGCCATATTTGGGGAAGAGCACTCCGGTCCTACCTCCCTGTATGCGATAGAATTCAGCATAGAGCAGTCAGGTTGATTTTAACCCTTTGCCGTTCCGACATGTTTGCAAGTTGCAGGGTGGGTCCCGTTCACTGCTAAATCTCGGAATGCGCAAGCTGTTAGCATTGGAAATATATTTAGAGGCATAGCACCATTGTTTTTAAAGACATTGTACTCACCGCAGAGAACCGTAGCGACACTACAGCACTCTATGATAGCTGGCGCAAAACTGTGCGATGCCCCCCCGTATGGCCTTTTACAATTCTGTTCCATACGTTATTGGAACGGGAAAGGTTTAATGATGCAGCACAGTCCTCAGTGATTCACTCCAGTCTCGTGTTCACCGGTGGTCAGTCACCTCCTTATCGCTCTTGTATTGCTGCTACCATGGCTACTATCCCAATGAACTTCAGTCAATGATTAATCTTATATTTAGGACTCATTCTACCATCCACACTGTTCATACTGCAGGTGAAATCCACTCACCCACTCACTCTCACCTACACTCTCACCCGCCACACTGCAAGTCCCAACACATCTTTCTGCTTTTATCCTTGCATTACTCCACTTTGAAATCCCTTCCCATCATTTCTTTCTCCAAGCTCTTATTATAATCTTTCTCAATTCAAGAAACGCATTAACTCAATCAGGAATCACAATCTTAATTTATCCTGGAGGAATCCAATGAACTATCAAGCTATTTTTCACAGATGTCCATTAGGTGACTTATTTATTATAACTTTGATAGTGCCGTTTGTTGCTGGCTGCTTGACATTTTGGGCCTTTTGGTCTGTGCTCAGCAAATGTTTAAAATAAAAACTTAACATGTATAATTTTCGGAGCTAATATGATGATTCATAATTGTTTGATGGTTAGGCCACGTAAGGATCTGACCAAATTATTGTCGTTAAGACAACATTTTTGTTAAGTGACTTATGATGACCCTAACAATTATCGCCCTATATCAATCTTATCACCACTGATTCAGTTATTTGAAAAATCATTAAATACCCAAATAAGTAAATATCTTTCAGAAAAGAAGCTGTTCCTCTCCAAAGAATCAGGATTTCATAAAAAATACAGCACAACTGCTGTCATAGACTCCCTAAACTTTGTTTTCAATAATCTACAGAGCAAATAATACTTCGCCTGCCTATTCCTGGATGTATCACCACTACTCGCATGTGAATTTGTGCCCAGCTGCCAATGTATGAAGAGGTAGACAAGGTACAATTATGAATTGCCTGTAAGTGACCACTTTTGTGCATTGTGTTTACACTAGGTTTTTTTATGCTTTGTTTTTTCCCCTTGCTATAATGCTGCCGTGTTTTAGGCTGTATCTGCATTCCAATTAATATTGCACATTTAAAATAGTATTTTTTTTATATAAAGCGTACTAAATAATAGAAATGTATTTCTATTTAACTAAATTTTTCTGAAAAATAAGAAAATGTTTTATATTGCGATTATTATTTGCTATCAACTTTTTATTTTGCTTATCTGTTACAGTTTATCAATTTATTTTACTGTGACTTTATACGTTTGTTAGAGAAGCGGTATTTTTTATGATGAAACCCGATTTAAGAGCTTTTGGCTCACAGGGTAATTAAAAATAAACTTAAACTGAACTGAAGACCTCCACCACCTGACATAGCCAAACAAATTAAACTGTTGCATGGTGTACAATAATTGAATGGCGCACTGATTGCCGTTTTAGCTCACTTGCCAGGGTGATTTGAAAAACAATCATTACAGAAACTAGCAGAAATTACGCACGCGATGCTTTATTTTAAACTATGGCAAACATCATCAGGACAATCTCCATAACCGTGTCACCTGACTAGGCTTTCTTAAATAGGTGTCATGACCTCTTAAGGAACAACCCATGAGATTTAAATCAGATATTAACCATTGCAATTTAGTTTTCAAATGTTATTATAATTATCTGGGCCAATGGTTAATCACTATAATTACTCATGAATATTATAACCAGTGGCAGGATAGCATTGTTATGTTGGCTGAAGCTTAAAACTAAGTGTAAAAAATGTTATAGTTGATTATTTTAAATATCACCGAATTGTAATAACGTTTCCAAGCTGCACTTAATTTATAAGAATCAGCTTAATTGAAGTTATTTTTCGCTATACTTTTCTTTAACCTCTATGAATTACAAATCATGTTATTGGCTGCAATAAACCTACGGGTTAAGGAACATCCCGAATCACTGCGATTCATTTCTTTGGAAGACTCGCCCAAAAGTAGAAAAATCGAGCGTAACAGAAATATGAATTACCGGGCATGGTGCCATATCTGCTGTCATTGACACCCCCCGCTACGGCGCTGCTGCTGCTGCAGGGCAGTTGGCGCGCTGATGCAAGCCGTGGAGCAGCAGCTGTATGAGGCCGAGGAGCACGCGCTGCGCTTCCGCTGCTTCGCGTCGCCACGCGGCGGCACCACGGCCGTCGTAGTCGTGCCGGAGCCGCTGCATTTCATTGTGCCGCACAGAGTGCTGGACAAGCGCGGAGAGGGAGAGCGGAGAGAGGGAGAGCGCATCGTCACCGTGATGCTGCCGGCCGGCGTGGGTGATGAGAGCCTCATCGACTACCGCAGGGTACTCGCTCGCACTCAACACTTGCACACACACCACGTACTCACACAACCACGTACTCATACAACGACGCACTCACACAACCACATATTGACACAACCACATATTGACACAACCACGTACTCGCACAACTATGTACTCGAACAACCACGCACTCGCACAACCACAACCATGCACTCACACGAACACACTTGCAACCCCACACTCAAAAAGCCAAGCACACACTCACACTCGCACAACCATGCATACACACTCACACTCGCACAACTAAGCACTCATACATTCACTCACACAACAACGCACTCACACATTCACTCACACAACTACTCACACTCACACAACTATGCATTCACACTCACACCACCACGCACTCACACAACCATGCACTCACACACTCGCACCATCACACACTCACACACCACGCACTCACAAACTCGCACACTCACTCGCACAACCAGGCACTCACATCCAGGCGGTCACACAACCATGCAATCACACAACCATGCACACACTCGCACCACCACGCACTCACACAACCATGCACTCACACACTCGCACCATCACACACTCACACACCACGCACTCACACACTCACTCGCACAACCAGGCACTCACACATCCAGGCGGTCACACAGCCACGCACTCGCACAACCACGCAATTGCACAACCAAGCACTCACAACCACGCACTCATACACTCACACAATCACGCACACACACTAACTCACACTCGCACAACCACTCACACAGCCACGCACTTACAAAGACAAAGACCCCCCATATAGCCTTAGACTGTTGGAGCAAGTGCTGCTAACGAGCAGCTATGAAGGCCGGAACAGTACACGAGGGGGTGGGTGGCCAGAACCACGCCCGACCGCCTTTGTCTCCCCAGTGGCGATGTTTACACACCACACTGTGTACCCATTTGAGGCTGAGTCGACCTAGGCGAGGCCCAGGACCGGTTCAGATAATCGTCACTGGTGTTGGCCGTGAGCGGGAATCGAACCCGGGTCGCCGGGTTTATCGCGCAGCACGCTCATCGCTACATTACTGCTCCCCACACTGACACAACCACACACAGCCACACACTCACACACAACCACACTCACACGCACACACTCACACAACCACACACATATTAGCACATTCACTAACACACAACAACACACACACTTGCACTGTATTAGTACGTGTGAGTGTTTGTATGTTCTCCCCCTGTTCTGCTTGGGTTTCCTCAGAGGTCTCTGGTTTCCCATATATATGGTTTTATTTTGGCAAAACCCATTGGGCAATAAATGATTATTCGTTCGAGATCTGGTGTACACCATAGACCCTTGGTTACTACAGCAAAAAAACATGCGAATAAAGCAACCCAAAAACAACCACTATACATGGTCACGTTCCAAATGGCTAGGTTCTACATCAGCATGGTACAACTTGTACAAAAAATACAAGGCGAATATAACACATCAGATCATAAAACATATGTAATTTAAAGTATGCTTAGCAGAGCGATCAATTGCACTTACACTCGAAATAAAATCTGACGTCCAAAAATGATTAAAGTAGGAATGGGAACAGGGAGGAGCTTCTAACAATACGGGAATTTACCAAAATATATGGCTGAAAAGACATACACAGTGTAACTGGAATTGGCCAAACATCTCAGTGCTGAAAAATTACCTGCAAATTACTCCGTTAGGAATCACAAACAGCAGCAACATTGCCCCCTACTGCAGTCCCCCTACTCACCAGGTCATGGGTTCGGTCCCAATCCTAGCGCCTGTATATTTGGAGTTTTAATGTTCTCCCCGTGGTCATGTGGATTTTTCTCCATGTCCTCCTGGTTTTCCCTGCACATTTAGAATAACATGTGTTTAGAGTATTTGGCTGCTATATATTTCCACGTGATAAGCCACTTCGTTGAGCTATCATTTGTGGCCAGGCCGTTTCTGAAAAAGAGCTATGTAGCTCGGCGGGCCTTACCTGCTAAAATAAAATAAAATTGTTTATGGTTTTTATCGTTTTAGCTTGGGAGCACCCTTCTGAAAAGAGTCTTGAGACTCAGGCTTTTGTAGACGAACAAGTGTAGTAATCAGAGCGTTTATGTGCATTGCTCCCAAGGAGCTACATGCACGCTTCTTGCTGCCGGCCGACCGGCCTCTCTTCCGGAGAGCCAACGTGCACACGTTCCCAGACGAGCAGCGAGACGACGGGTACCTGCGGAGCCCACACCTGGGCCTCCGTTCACCTCAGGTGGAGAACGTCAAGGTGATGTATGCCACTGTGACTTTTTCTGCTCGTCAAACACAACAGATTGTGGCACAGTCGCTGGGCACAGAAGGCCGAATGGCCCAAACATGTCAAGTGGACGACAGTAAAGAGCACCATCAAAGTTGTGATAGGTAATAGCTAATATACGTTTCTTGAATGGAGCAAGATTATGATAAATAGTTTGGGAAAACAGACAATGGGATGGAATTCTAGAGTGGAGCAGTGTGAGGGAAGAAGCAGAAAGAGAAGGTCTGTGACCTTCAGTGTGGTGAGTGAGAGAGTGGGTGAGTGGGTGGGTAAGTGGATTTGAGCTGCAGTTTGAACAGTGTGGGTGAGACGAAAAAGGTCATGGGTATAGTAGCAATGGTGGTCGCAATACAAGAGTGATAAACAGGTGACTTACCACTGGTGAGCAAGAGACTGGAGTGAATCAGTGAGTATTTTACTACATCATTAATCAATGTGAATTCTCTATGCTCAATTTTTGAAATCCTCAACATGGTAGCAGTGTACAATGTAGTAGTGATAGAAAAATGTTAAGGGGACAATGAACCACCAGTGAGCGAGTTACTGGAGTGAATCAGTGGCTGTTGGAACATCCAATTACCCCGACTGCTATCCTTTGAATTCTATCAAGTGCAGCGAGGTAGGAATTCCATTCTGCACCCTAGATATGACAGCAGTGTTTCAACCTTGGCCGAATATGTACTCTATATCATCATAATAATTGTTCGGAGTTGAGGCTTCGATAGAAAACACTGAGACGAGTCCGAGCCTCTGGCATGAAGTCCAAGTCAATCTCATGAAATCTCTCTTGTTCTTGCCTCTTTATCCCCCTTCCTATTCTGCCAGTGTCTGGTACTCATGGCGCTCTCTCATCCCCTGCTCCCCGTCGCTCTCGCCTCTCCCCTGTGCATCTCTCCCCCACGCCCACAGATCCTACTGGTGCAGGGCACGTACACCTACCACCACTACATGCAGGAGCGTGTAGATGACAAGGGCTGGGGCTGTGCGTATCGTTCCCTGCAGACCATCTGCTCCTGGTTCAAGCAACAGGGCTACACACAGCGCGCCGTGCCCTCACACAGGGATATACAACAGGTGACGTAAAACTCAATGCATTCGTTAAATAACACATTCGACCTGAAAATGAACAATATGCACTTAAAGCTTTCATGACTGCAGGAATTCATATTCTTTGGGTATTTCGGTAAAGCCACGTAGATAGAAAAAAATAATAACAATATCACGACGTTTCGATCGCAACACAAGCAATCGTCTTCAGGTAAGAAAAGAGGGGGAAATCTGCCGAGGCAGGCTGTTTATTAAGGTTTAGAGATGGGCGGGGCAGCTAATGTTAATGTAATAGAGGTCTCCGTAACCTACAGTAGGTCTACACCAATCAAAGAGCTGTTTACAAATGGTTTAGAGATGGACGGGGCAGCTAAAGCCAATGTGGGGGAGGTACTACGGAGCTGTGGGGGGTGGCCATTGTATTGTGAGAGATTAGCATGTCAATGTAAGCAGGTGACTTTTATATAGTAAGTTAAATAGTGACAGTGCTGGTACCGAGCCTTGAGGGAGACCATTATTCACAGTTCTGTTGCGGCTAGTTCACCGGCAAAGTGCACCCGGAGAGTTCGGTGGCTGAGCGTCGCGTCGCTTACGTGTATAGTAGGAAGGTACAGTGAGGGAAAAAAGTATTTGATCCCCTGCTGATTTTGTACGTTTGCCCACTGACAAAGAAATGATCAGTCTAAATTTTAAAGGTAGGTTTATTTGAACAGTGAAAGAACAAAAAAATCCAGAAAAACGCATGTCAAAAATGTTATAAATTGATTTGCATTTTAATGAGGGAAATAAGTATTTGACCCCCTCTCAATCAGAAAGATTTCTGGCTCCCAGGTGTCTTTTATACAGGTAACGAGCTGAGATTAGGAGCACACTCTTAAAGGGAGTGCTCCTAATCTCAGCTTGTTACCTGTATAAAAGACACCTGTCCACAGAAGCAATCAATCAATCAAACTTTCCACCATGACCAAGACCAAAGAGCTCTCCAAGGATGTCAGGGACAAGATTGTAGACCTACACAAGGCTGGAATGGGCTACAAAGACCATTGCCAAGCAGCTTGGTGAGAAGGTGACAACAGTTGGTACGATTATTCGCAAATGGAAGAAACACAAAAAAAAACTGTCAATCTCCCTCGGCCTGGGGCTCCATGCAAGATCTCACCTCGTGGAGTTGCAATGATCATGAGAACGGTGAGGAATCAGCCCAGAACTACACGGGAGGATCTTGTCAATGATCTCAAGGCAGCTGGGACCATAGTCACCAAGAAAACAATTGGTAACACACTACGCCGTGAAGGACTGAAATCCTGCAGCGCCCGCAAGGTCCCCCTGCTCAAGAAAGCACATATACATGCCTGTCTGAAGTTTGCCAATGAACATCTGAATGATTCAGAGGACAACTGGGTGAAAGTGTTGTGGTTAGATGAGACCAAAATGGAGGTCTTTGGCATCAACTCAACTCGCCGTGTTTGGAGAAGGAATGCTGCCTATGACCCCCAGAACACCATCCCCACCGTCAAACATGGAGATGGAAACATTATGCTTTGGGGGTGTTTTTCTGCTAAGGGGACAGGACAACTTCGCCACATCAAAGGGACGATGGATGGGGCCATGTATCGTCAAATCATGGGTGAGAACCTCCTTCCCTCAGCCAGGGCATTGAAAATGGGTCGTGGATGGGTATTCCAGCATGACAATGACCCAAAACACACGGCCAAGGCAACAAAGGAGTGGCTCAAGAAGAAGCACATTAAGGTCCCGGAGTGGCCTAGCCAGTCTCCAGACCTTAATCCCATCGAAAATCTGTGGAGGGAGCTGAAGGTTCGAGTTGCCAAACGTCAGCCTCGAAACCTCATTGACTTGGAGAAGATCTGCAAAGAAGAGTGGGACAAAATCCCTCCTGAGATGTGTGCAAACCTGGTGGCCAACTACAAGAAACGTCTGACCTCTGTGATTGTCAACAAGGGTTTTGCCACCAAGTACTAAGTCATGTTTTGCAGAGGGGTCAAATACTTATTTCCCTCATTAAAATGCAAACAATTTATAACATTTTTGACATGCGTTTTTCTGGATTTTTTGTTGTTATTCTGTCTCTCACTGTTCAAATAAACCTACCATTAAAATTATAGACTGATCATTTCTTTGTCAGTGGGCAAACATACAAAATCAGCAGGGGATGAAATACTTCTTTCCCTCACTGTATCTGATGCTTTGGGCCCATTCAGCAGCAGGCCTCGATGCCAAGCTGTTGTCTTAGCAGCAGAGGAGTCAATCATTGCTGTGACATTTTTTTGTTGACGCTGGAAACCAGTTCCAGTGAGGGTGGGGAAGGCATCGATTCGTTGGCAGCAACTACAGCCGGTTCAGAATCCGGCTCGTTCAGGAGGCAGTTGGGGGTCGATAGTAGAAGACCGTCTAGCAAGACGTGGGGGGCACGTTCGATAAGCTTGGAGGTGCAGGACACGAGGGATTTGGCTCTGTCGCTGGAGGGTGAGTCTTGCCGCTTGAATGGTGATGACTCTGTCTTGCTTCCATTTTTGTATTTTGCCGTCCTGTGAATGGAAGTGAAGAGGGTTTGCAAGCCGTATGTTGTCCATACAGTCCCAGATTATTTTTGGGAACTCGAGGCATCGTTTCTTTGGATCTGTTGCTTGTGGTAGTTGACTCGCGGTGATGGTGAGTTATTTCCGGACATCTTGTTTGGGGGGGCTTGCCCATGGTGTCTCTGGCCAGGACAGCAGCGTGGGAAGCCACAGCATTCGCTATTGCAAGGAGGCATATTGTCTGCTTATATATTGTGTTACGTATGTATTCTCCACAATAAAGCTGAAGGTCAGTACACTTGCCACTTCAGCCTGTTTTCAAGGGGTCAACAGTTAACTTTTTCTCAATTACTGAGACTTCCCTTCCTTTAAATGTTAAGTAAGTAAATAAAAGGGTTTATTTTATAATGAGCTATTTTATTTACTACTTGCCTTTCTTATGCTATTCGTTGCGCACGGTTGCACTTTATTTTGCGCGTGGTTGCAATTTATTTCACTCAGTCGGTGTTAGCCGTTGAGGTTTTGGCTTGTTTCTATTTTCACTCTTGTTGCTTCTTGCCCCCAGTACTGCTCCGTGTTCTGCTGTCATGTGCACTTATGCCTCCTTTATTGAGGGCGATATTGGCATGTAAAATAAATATCGATTGATTGAGTTACCCAGGCTGTTGTTTAACAGCAGACTGGTAAGTTATGATAATTTATATTAATTTAGTACCCTTAGTATTCACGCCATTATCATTGCAGAAAGGCTATCACAAAGCTTTGGATGTTGCTGTTTCCCAGTGAGGTAATTTGCGGGCATTATTTCAATTTGGACTGTGACGCTGACACAATGGCCCACTCATTTCAAATGATGTCACGGAATCTTTGACCTCCACTGTGAAGCAGACGGCACGTAAAATTTCACGGTTAGTACCATTGCAGTAATAGCCGGCGGTGGTGAGATGTTATTTCCCTCTCCTGGTATGCAGGAAGTAGTGGGTTCGATCCAATACCCTGACGCCTGTATGTTCGGAGTTTGTATGTTTTCCCCGTGGTCATGTAAATTATTCTTTGGGTCCTCTGGTTTTGCCCTCCACGTTTAGAAAAATGTGTTTGAAGTGCTTGGCTGCTATAAATGATAAGCCACTTCGTTGAGCTATGATTTGTGGCCAGGTCGCTTCTGAAAAAGAGCTACATAGCTCAGTGGGCGTTACCTGGTAAAATAAAAAAGTAATAGCCAGGGCAGCCTGTGGTATTGCAACTACGAACCTCTGCAACAAACGGTGAATGCGCTACCACCGGGCCACGTCTATGGTAAACGTGCATCTGCACACATCTGCACGACCGTTAGCATTTGCTCATGTGTGCCCCAGGCACTGATGGACACGGGGGACAAGTCCTCTTCGTTTGTGGGCTCCAGGCAGTGGATCGGCTCCATTGAGGTTCAGACTGTGCTCAATCAACTCCTCAATGTCACCTCCAAGATCATGTTCATCAGGTACAATGTGCACACAACAGGCGTTCACGTCCTATGCCTTCAATGAAAATCTCCGTATTCTGAGGATTATGTAAGTAGCCTTTGTATTAATGCACAAGCACTCGTGTTTTTACAATGCTGCATGCAGAACAAGCTCGTGTGCGCATCTATTGCGCATGTCATACTGGTTTGCACTTGGCACACAGCCCAACGGGTGCTCACTATGGAAGGGGTTACACCGTATACACACGCCCCCCCCTAGCCCACCCCCTACAACAACCGCCGTTCACCACTAAGTGGAGGTGACATCACCACTTGTGCAATGCTTGGTGCACTTTGAGACCACGTGAAGTGTCGAAGGCCTGCTGACAGGAGGTCACGGAACAGACCTAGGTGCCATGAGTTGACTGACTGAGAGGACTGGCAGAGGCACCACCTGTGCGCCTCACTGCCATCTTGATGTGTCTTAGCTGCCCGGGCTCTCCGCTCGTTTTTGCTTTTTAGCTATGGAAAAAACAAAACCTGGAGGAAGCTCATACACAACAGGGGGAGAACATACAAACTTACCCCCTATACCACTCTACAGCTTGCCCCCCCCTTCAAAGACAAAGATCGTGAGCACCTATGAAAGGGGTTGGTTGGGGTGGGTGGACAGAACCACGCCCAGCCGCCTCTGTCTCCCGAATGGCAATGTTTTTACACGTCACACCAAGTACTCAATTGAGGCTCAGTTGACCAAGGGATGGCCTAGGGCCAGTTCAGATAATCATTACTGGTATTGACCGCAAGCAGGAATTGAACTCGGGTCGCCGGGTTTGCAGCTGAACGCGCTAACCGCTATACTTCCGCTCCCCATACACACACCCCTACCCCAGTCTACACACACACACCCCTACCCCACTCTACACACACCCCTACCGCACTCTACACACACACCCCCTACCCCATTCTACACACACACACACACCCCTACCCCACGCTACATATGCACATACCGTCTGATTTCCTTCTATAGCTAAATAAAATCACACAATGTAACTGGTATTGCCCGGACATTCCATTGCTGAAAATTAGCTACAAAGTACAGTACCAAATTTCGATTGCACAGAGCAACGTCGCCCCTAACTGCAAACACTTGGCATCGGGTCTTACAGACTCAATTAAGCTGCCCTTGGTACATAAGTGTAATAATATTTTCAATTTTCTTTGGTTCTTTCGGTAAAGTCACGTAGAATGAGAATAAAATAATAAAATAACACAATAAATTCTCACGACGTTTCGGCCACAACGCAAGCGGCCGTCTTCAGGTGAAAGGAACAGACCTGTCGGGACGACAGAGCTTCAATGAACGATGTTAAGATTCGTAGCGACTTTTAAGCTGGTTGGGAGAAGTGAGGCACCTTGATAAAGGGGTTTACATATCAAATAGCTGAGGGATTAGCTTGTGACTGGTCACAGAAATGGCTATGTTAAAGTCAAAACCTACACATCCACAGAGGCAACTAGTAATTTAGCATTGAAATAGCTAAGGGATTAGCTTGTGCAAATAGCTGAGGGATTAGCTTGTGACTGGTCACGGAAATGGCTATGTTAAAGTCAAAACCTACACATCCACAGAGGCAACTAGTAATTTAGCATTGAAATAGCTAAGGGATTAACTTGTGACTGGTCACAGAAATAAATGTTAAAGTAAAGGCCTACACATCCACAGAGCTTCAATGAATGCTGTTAAGATTCGTAGCGACTTTTAAGCTGGTTGGGAGAAGTGAGGCACCTTGACAAAGGGGTTTACATATCAAATAGCTGAGGGATTAGCTTGTGACTGGTCACGGAAATGGCTATGTTAAAGTCAAAACCTACACATCCACAGAGGCAACTAGTAATTTAGCATTGAAATAGCTAAGGGATTAGCTTGTGCAAATAGCTGAGGGATTAGCTTCTGAATGGTCACGGAAATGGCTATGTTAAAGTCAAAACCTACACATCCACAGAGGCAACTAGTAATTTAGCATTGAAATAGCTAAGGGATTAACTTGTGACTGGTCACAGAAATAAATGTTAAAGTAAAGGCCTACACATCCACAGAGCTTCAATGAATGCTGTTAAGATTCGTAGCGACTTTAAGCTGGTTGGGAGAAGTGAGGCACCTTGACAAAGGGGTTTACATATCAAATAGCTGAGGGATTAGCTTGTGACTGGTCACAGAAATGGCTATGTTAAAGTCAAAACCTACACATCCACAGAGGCAACTAGTAATTTAGCATTGAAATAGCTAAGGGATTAGCTTGTGCAAATAGCTGAGGGATTAGCTTGTGACTGGTCACGGAAATGGCTATGTTAAAGTCAAAACCTACACATCCACAGAGGCAACTAGTAATTTAGCATTGAAATAGCTAAGGGATTAACTTGTGACTGGTCACAGAAATAAATGTTAAAGTAAAGGCCTACACATCCACAGAGCTTCAATGAATGCTGTTAAGATTCGTAGCGACTTTAAGCTGGTTGGGAGAAGTGAGGCACCTTGACAAAGGGGGTTTACATATCAAATAGCTGAGGGATTAGCTTGTGACTGGTCACGGAATTGGCTATGTTAAAGTCAAAACCTACACATCCACAGAGGCAACTAGTAATTTAGCATTGAAATAGCTAAGGGATTAACTTGTGACTGGTCACAGAAATAGATGTTAAAGTCAAAGCCTACACATCCACAGAGGCACCTCGTACATGGACGCCAAAGGGGGGCTGCAACAACTCAACTGTCATACAGTAAACCAATGTGAAAAACCTTATTCTGAATTACATCAATATAATAAATGTACTCAATATATTCTTCAATAAGCTGAGCTATTAACATTAACTGGATATACACTACACTATATAATGAATACCATATAGTAAACCAATAAAAACTAAAATATAAACTACCTCAATGTTATATCACAATGTTATATGGTGAAAAAACGGGTGGATTCTTACCTTCCACTTCAGCACCACGGACAGCTACGAGCCCCGCTCAGACGGACGAGTCCATCCATGGTCGGAACGGAGGAGGAAGGAGGGGAGAAACCGCTGCGAGGCGCTGTTATACTCCATGTTATAAACCATACCATTAACCGTGGTGTGAGAGGTATTAAGAGTCAGTGCCAGCGAAAGAGCTGCAGTCTGAAGGTCCTCGTAAAATACAATTAATTAAGAACCGAAATGGTTTAAAACATCTTTCCAATGGTTACTAAGCCAGAATCCATCTTCTCGGTTGAAATTGTCTCTGTGTTTGTATATGTGGATGGCCTCATGAACGAATCTCTCATGGTAGCCGGTTGGTTTGCAAAGAACCTCTGTCTTGGAGAAGTCAATGTCATGTGAGCCCACTGAATTATAACAGTGATCTGCCACGGCAGAGGAGTTCGTTCTGCCGTGTTTCAAGTCTGCTTTATGTTCGCGGATGCGGTCCGAGATATGTCGTTTGGTTTCTCCAATGTAGCTACTACCACAGAGGCACTTTAGTTTATAAACGCCCGGGTACTGTATGTCTGGAACAGCATCTTTTACAGATGGAACCAGATCACGGATTTTATGTACTGTGTTGAATCGGACCTGGATATTGTGTTTATTCAGGATTTTGGAGATCTTTTTTGTGACCCCTGCAATGTAGGGTAAGGTGATGGTTTTGAGTGGCTCCACAAGAGGATCCTTCTTCCTGACTGGAGTGATGGCTTTGCGGATTGTGTAGTCGGAGTAACCATTAGCTCTGAGAGCCTGGTGTACGTGCATGAGTTCACTGGTAATGTGTTCCTGGTCGGAAATGCATTGGGCTCTATGGTATATAGTCTTGATGAGGGAGTTCTTCTGGGATGGATGGTGGTGGGAATCCGGTTTCAAGTAAGCATCTGTATGGGTAGCTTTCCTGTAGACAGAGTGGCTCATTGAACCATCAGGTCTCCTTATGGAAGAGGTACGTGGATGACACTTTTGTCATCTGGCCACATGGCCAGCCTGCTCTAGACCAATTCCGCATCCACATCAATTCCATACACCCAGCCATCAGATTTACCATGGAGGTCGAAAAAGATGGCAAACTACCCTTTTTGGATGTCTTAATTAAAAGGAGACCTGATGGTTCAATGAGCCGCTTTTAACATAATTTCGGATCATTATGCATTTTTTCCAATTTCATTCAATTTTATTATTTTTAGTAAATTTTCAAGACCCGGCATATAAACAAACCGGTCTCTGGTCAGCTCATGTTAAACAAATGCTGCTGAAAGAATTAACTCCCAAAAGGCAATGTGTGGCCGGTTGGGATGTGTAAAAAATACGTTAACATGGTATGTGGAGGGACAGATATGGGAAGGAGATGTGTTCTGATTATTTACTGTATTACTTATGTTCTCCACAGAGACGCAAATTATGATATGCTATCTCATCTCGGAGTCTAATACTAACAGACTCTGGATATCTGGTACTAAGTGACACCGTGCCTCGCCTGGCTGCAAGGAAGTGCAGGGGACGTTTGTTGACGTCAACATCATTGGCCTCAATGACTTTTTTATGTCGATCTCTGCTCTCCCTTTAACTGGGGATCTTTGTCTTTTGTGAATCGCTGACAGCAAAGGCTCAGAAATGGCATCCACTGGAAGGGAGCTGTCGATGCACTTTGAGAATGAAGGAACCCCAGTGATGATCGGTACCGAGCACAAATCCACACGCGCCACGCTACGCACTCGTGTTTACAACCGGCAACTGCACGTATTTGTTGTCAGTGATGCACGCTCCGATGGACCAAATTGAATTTAGAGCTTTGTGTGAACAGCTGGGCTACATGATGGGCAGCAGAGGGAAATTCAGCAAAATCCATGCTTCCGACCTGATTTACGAAAGGGATGCTTTCTTCCAAAAACACGCGTAAAACTAATTTCGTAAATCGGTATGGCTTTTCCCAATAATTTAATACAAAAAATTCCAATTGTACTGCTAACATAAAAATATACTTGAATATTACTTTTCACTATATCATCTTTCACAGTACAATAATAATAAAAAATAACATACATATTAAAACGATTGAATAATTAATTAAAAACAAAAATAATTAACCTCAGGGAACTCAATCAAAGATCTGCTGCATGTTGAAATGATTGGCAAGGCGATGTGGAGGCATTACTGTTGCACTGCCAGGGACACCGTGACGCTGTTGCGGATGGATGATGCCTCAGCCTCCCAGGTGGCTTCTTGTTTGATGATTTCGTGGCGCATGCCGAAGTGAAATTTTGCTCACGCGGAAATTCGATTTCGTGAATAGAAAAATGTCTATAATTTGTCAATTGCGTGAACGCGAAATTTCTTAAACAGAACGTTTGTAAATCAAGCGATACCTGTACACTATGTACGCATCAAAAACATGAAGAAACAATGTTACGCTACATCAGATAGATCATTTCACAAGTGGAAGGCAGGCCGTTGCACCAAGCCAATTATAATCTCATGACTCCCTGAGCACGTGCACGATGTGGTGCCTGTGCACCCGATAGGCATCCTTGCCCATCGGCAATGCACCGCGAGTCCTGCCCTAGTGTTTGGCGGCAGCGCGGTGGTGACACTCGTGCCTCACAGCAAGAAGGGCCTGCATCCGATTCCCGACTCGGGCGTCTTTTTGTGTGCAGTTTGTATTCTCTTCCCCTGCTGTGCATGGGCTTCCTCCACGTTCTATGGTTTCTTCCATAGTTAAACAAAAAAACGGTGTAACTGGGATTGACCAGACATCCCTATGCTGTAGACCGAGCTACAATTGGGTTGACACACAGCAACATCACCCTCTACTGCAAAACCTTTACAAGACGCTACTGAAATTAAGCCTTGAGGCTTTAGTGAGGCTTTCCTGGGTGAACAAGTGTTAACAATAATAATTATATATTTGTGTGTGTGGCCCAGGCGGAGGGCTCCTGGCGCACACCATCGTGGGGGTGGCGTGGAGTGAGAGCTCGGGACAGATCCGCTTCCTCATCCTGGACCCCCACTACACAGGGGCAGAGGACCTGAGCACCGTGCAGGACAAGGTGCAATGCACGCCAGTAGAAACGTTTAGATTGTCATGGTTCGCAACATGTAGCGGTTTGTTCTGGTTAACAGTTACACTTATGGTTCGATTCGACTCCCCTGACTCGCTCATACTGTGATCGTGAGATGTTAAAAGGTGTATTCTAGTCGCAAGCATTCACATGTACCGACAACTGTGGTGACACACCAACGATGTGCTGATGGATGTTCACCGTGGTGTGCTGTGTCCATGGAGTCCGGAGTTGTGTCTAGAGTAGTTTCACTGGGCAGCCAGGTGGCCCAGTAGTAGAGTGTGTGGTTCACAATGGGAAGGATGGGCATTGATCAGCCCATCGTCCCTTTGGGATCCACAGAATAAACACCACTTTCTGGGGAAGTCAACAGTGGTTGTCCCTATGGAGACACTCGCCCCTGTCATAGCAATGTAGGATATTCACCACCGGCTTAGGGCTGTAAAAAATTAGCTCCACCTTCATGTTAATATGTGCAGGAAGTCACTTGACGTTTTGTTTACCTGTAGCCATTCCCTCTGCAGGGTTGGTGTGGGTGGAAGGGACCGGACTTCTGGGACCATACTGTCTACTACAACATGTGCCTGCCGCTGCGTCCCCGCGAGCTGTGAGCCGCGAGCGCAACGTCCCTGCGCCGCTCTGTAGCGCACCGTCCCTGCGCCGCTCTGTAGCGCACCACGTGGGGAATAAAGAACAGACGCACAGGGGTGTCGTGTGCGCTCGTCTTGAACTGTCTGTAATGTCGGTGTGTTCCGCGACGACAACTAAAGCGGGAAAATAAAAATTTCCCTCCATGTATATGTAGTGGGTTCCAGTGACACGGAGACGGTAGAGTAGAGGCAGCACTTATTTATTCATAACAAGGGGTCACACTGAAGGGGTAGCGGCCCCTTCACCCGAATCCCCCTAGGCTATCTAGCCTAAGCCTATGTTCCCCGGTTCCTCCAGCTAAGGGCTCTAGGGGAGACTGTCTGATCTGGCCCTGGTTAAGCTCAGATCACGGCACCCCACCAACCAGACCGGCCCTTAGAAGGACGTCGGCTCTGTGGCTCCTGGGGCCGTATCACTGGCTTGCCCTGCCGATCCTGAGGAGGACAGCGGTCAGGGGAGTCCCAGGGTTCTATTTAGCTGGTCTTCCTTCTTCCCTGGTACTTCATTCTTGGCCCCAACACTCTGCCCCGAGCTCTCTCACTCCCCGCCCTTTATACCCACAAACCACTGGGCGGGGCTGTAGAAGCGGACGTGGTTGTAGCCACCTAAGATCATACCAAGGATCGGCTGTACCTCTGCATCTCGCAACACCCCTACATATAATGCAATTTATTTTGAGCTATTCTGCAGATCAATAGGCAAAAATCATCAAGCATAAATGTGACTACCCACCGAATTTCCAAGCACTAGTGCAATGGGCTATACCATTCGACCATTAACCACACTACATCAAGACAACATTAACAAGTCTTAATATTACCACTGCTTGTTTACCATGAAAAGTTTCATTTTTTAAGGAGGGTCCTGCCAAGTTTTTGCATTTGAGGGTGATCCTGCTGTGCCTTCCACTTGAGGTAATTTGCAGGTAATTTTGGACGTTTAACATGGGACATTTTCGCCAATGTCAGAAATGGGAGGAAACCCATTGTAGAACAACAGGGGGAGAACTTATGAACTCCACACAGCCTGGCATTGTGAACCAAGGCGATGCTTTGTGAGGTGCAAGTGTTAAAACCGTACCACTCTGCCACTGTCTTAAGGAAGATGCAGACCTAGACAATGTTAGTAACGTTATTTTACTTGAGTGCGCATCAGATATTTTTCAGTTGTAACCCTCTCATAGAATTCTCCAGCTTAAATTGGTTGTGCAAGACCTATGATTTGCCAAAAATAGAGACGCAAACAATTTCCCTCCCCGTATCTCCACATAACAAATACGAGTATTGTTTACACAGTCCATAGTCCTCGCGTCCCCGCGGGAGTGCATGATTTCGGCAGCATTGGTGCAGCACAATAATACTCCGGGACTGATCTTCTTTGGTTCTTTCGGTAAAGTCACGTAGAATGAGAATAAAATAATAAAGACAATAAAATTATCACGACGTTTCGGCCACAACACAAGTAGCCTTCATCAGGTGAAAGAACAGAACTGTCGGGACGACAGTGCTCTCATTGGAGCTCCAATTGGCCAATGCCAATTCACCAATGCCAATTCACCTGATGAAGGCTACTTGTGTTGTGGCTGAAACGTGAGAATTTTATTGTCTTATTTTATTTTATTCTCATTCTACGTGACTTTACCGAAAGAACCAAAGAAGATGAATCCTTGCAGTCACAAAAGCTTTAAATCGAAACTCTGGGACTGGTTTCGACACAGCATCTCGGCAGCAGCAGCCCAGGCCTGCTCCAATCACCAATGCTGCTGAAATTATGTACTCGAGCAAGGCCAGGATCACGGAGCAAAGCCACGTTTCTCGTTGGACTCCGCGTGGAAAGCATAATGTCTTGTCACATAAATCCGTTTGTGCCGAACTAAGAACCTCAATCCTACAGAGAGGGACCTCGCCTCTTACGTTTTGCAATTCAGCAGCATGGATGATTTATTAAAGCGGGCCGGACTGCTGCTAATGAGACGCTGTGTGTTGTCCAGAGTCTGCTTTTACTGAACCAAAGCTGTTAACAGGTCCCTGCAGGGTGGGCTTGTAGGACAAGTCTCTGCGCTGTCTATTGCTGATTTTACACCCAACAGCACGAGATTTCACTTCGTTAAAGTATTGAAAGGGGACGGACGGACGGACACATTCATCTATTGCAGGCTGGTACACTCAGTTTACAACTTCGTTCCTACCAGTAAAATCATGCACTCCAAGCAGGGACGTGGTTGGGGTGGCGATGGTCTGTGTACACAGGACTTGTTTTAGGTATGTGGAGACGTGGACATGTAAAGGAGACATTGTTATTTTGTTATTAATATGCCAATGATTATGTTGTGACTCCCAATAGTTAATTATGGAGTGATAATGTGTTGGCAGTGGCGCGCAAATAACACAAACACATTCACCGATAACAGCCTTAAAACATCATCCATTTGCTCCGGAAGGCATAAACGATTGAGGTTTGTTATTTAAGAGTAAATGGCCGCGGTCCCTCAGGAAGGGGTGGGGGGGGGGATACGCACGCGCATTGGGCCGCGTGCGAGACGGGCGCAGCACACAGCCAATGGCAACGACGCGAGAGAGCGGGGGGCGGGTCCGGCCTGAGGGGGTCTCCGGACGCTGCCCTCCTCGCGCCACTCGCGCGCGAATCTCTGGGCCGCCGCCGTTTCTCCCCTCTCCTGGCAGTCGCGGTACCCACCCGGAGTCGCCATGCCATCGGTCGTGCGAGCCGCAAAGCGCGCGCTGCGGAGCGAAGTGAAGGCCGCGCTGAGGGCGATGGCGCCCGAGGAGCGTGGACGGCAGCAGCTGGAGCTCACGAGGCGGGTGCGCGGGGCCTGGCGGGGTGGGGCGCGGTGGGGGAGGCTCAGGGGGGAGACTTGATTCGAAGCTTTCGTGACTGCAAGAATTACTCTTTGTTTTTTTCGGTAAAGTCACGTATAAAAAAAAAATAACAATAGCGTACGACGTTTCGGTTGGAACACACGCAGCCATCAGGTACAGAAGAGCTAAATTTACGAGAGAGAGGAAACACATAACCCCAGATGTATATACAGACACCCAAGTAGGGGGGAACTAACACAGATACAACAGGGTACAACAGAGACGCATACCAAACAATCAGGGTTTAGCAAAATTTGGAAACCATATAAAGCAACACAGACGGTCGGTCGAGTAGGCTCAGGGGGACCCGCGCGGGTCGTGAGCCAGGCGAGGTCACTGACCAAGTGGGCGGCTCGTCTTTACGGCCACAATCAGAATTTTTACTTAGACTGGAGGAGGAATCCGATAAGCTATAAAGCTCTTTCGCAGATGGCCAGTCGTGGCGGGTCGGTAAATTATAACAAAAAAACTGTAGGAAAACACTAGGAGTGCAAAGTAGAGAAAAGATAATGAAGTCTCTAATAAAACAAATATAAATACAATTGCATAAGTACAGTACATAATTCCTGCCTATACAGTTCAACCTTGGATTGCGAGTAACTGGGTTTGCGAGTGTTTTGCAAGACGAGCAAAATTTAAAAATAATTTGATAAACGAGCGATGTCTTGCAATACGAGCAGTACGTACGGTATACGCTTTGTCTGCCGAGCGTCACGTGATCACAACTGAGCCAATGGTTCTCTCTCGCTGCGGGATTGTGGTAAACCATCTCCCATGCTCGGTCTCAGTCGGCGTGCCTCGTATAGACAACACACGTGCGAGCGTATACTGTTTACTATAGTACTATAGTGTTGTGACCACGTGTATACTGTTTACTATAGTACTATAGTGTTGTGACCACGTGTATACTGTTACTATAGTACTATAGTGTTGTGACCACTTGTATACAGTTTACTATAGTACTATAGTGTTGTGACTACGTGTATACTTCTAGATTTAAAGCTTTCGTGACTGCTAGGATCCATACTCTTTGGTTCTATTGGGTAAAGTCACGTAGGTGAAAATAAAACAAAAAATCACGACGTTTCGGCCACAACACAAGCGGCCTTCATCAGGTGAAGGGACGAGACTGTCTGGAGGACAGCGCTGGAGTGGAAGAAGCCACGCTTAGATCACGACCTTTAAGCTGTGTGAGAAGAAAAAGACCAAGCTCCTTGACAAAGGAATTAGCATATAATTTAGCATTGAAATGGCTCATTGAAATAGCTAAGTTAAAGTATACACATCCGCAGAGGTACCCCTTGACAAAGGAATTAGCATCGAATTTAGCATTGAAATAGCTGAGTGATTAGCTTGTAACTGGTCACAGAAATAGCTGTGTTAAAGTTAGAGCATATACATTCACCGAGGCACCTAGTACTCATCAAACAGGATAATTTAGCGAAACACAACCACGCTCAGACATCGGACCTGTGTGCGAGCAAACAAGGTGTTCTGACAAAGAAATTAGCATAAAAATTAGTATTTGATTGGCGGATTTTAGGAAAGAGGTGGTGTACGTGCCGGTGACTTGCAGTTTGGCGCGGGGGGGAAGGGGGGAGGGGGAGTTTACCTATTGATGGTGTGAAAAGGGGGAATTTATAAGAGCTGCGAAAGTTTGGGGTACCATTACTTGAAAAATATACTGTACCATTGAAATTAGTTTAATGTTTAGTTCGATTTAGAACATGTTTCCAATGGTTGCTTAATTTGTATACTGTTTACTACAGTACTATAGTGTTGTGACCACGTGTATACTGTTTACTATAGTACTATAGTGTTGTGACCACGTGTATACTGTTTACTACAGTACTATAGTGTTGTGACCACGTGTATACTGTTTACTACAGTACTATAGTGTTGTGACCACGTGTATACTGTTTACTACAGTATAGTGTTGTGACTACGTGTATACTCTTTACTACAGTACTATAGTGTTGTGACCACGTGTATACTGTTTACTATAGTACTATAGTGTTGTGACCACGTGTATACTGTTTACTATAGTACTATAGTGTTGTGACCACGTGTATACTGTTTACTACAGTTCTATAGTGGTGTGACCACGTGTATACTGTTTACTACAGTACTATAGTGTTGTGACCACGTGTATACTGTTTACTACAGTATAGTGTTGTGACCACATGTGTGTGTGTAAAGCATCTTTTTTTATTTTGTGTCCAAGTGTAGTGACTGTTCTTTAGTAACTGTACTGCAAGTGAAAGTCGTCCTACACAATAACCCTCCTCTCTTCTCGTCTCCCTCACACCAGCCACGATTCAATGTAATTAATCAATTTAATTCATATTAATTTTAAATAATAAAAATATAAAAAGGTATTTTGTATTAATCATTTTTATATGAATACAGTATTTTTGGGTTGTGGAACGAATCATCTTAAGTTTCCATGATTTCTTATGGGGAAATTCGCTTTGATATACGAGTGCTTTGGATTACGAGCACGTTTCTGGAACGAATTATGCTCGCAATCCAAGGTTTCACTGTATTTCAAAACTAAACGCAAGCTTGGACAAGGCACAACAATAGTCCCACACCAAGAACACAGTAGCCTTTCAATTAAATTGCACATGAAATGTAACTCGATACGGCACGGGTAAGGATCAAAGTTACAAATCACATTTGCAAATGCGGTTGTATCCGGCGCAAAACTTTGCTTCGGGATATCTTTGAGGGAAGCGTTGCGGTGTTAACGCAGGAAACGATGTGATTGATGGCTGCTGCGCGTTCTTGAGGAAGCCGAGTGCCAATGCGGGAGGCTCCGGTGGCCAGGAGAGGGCTTCAGGAGAGAGTCCGCGTGGTCGTTGTCGCTTACGCCTCCATTGAAGCAGTGCAGAACTACGGAGTGGCTTCCTGTGCGGTTCAGTTTGGGTTGCCTGGCCACAATCGCACCGCTGTCGCTTATCTTTAATCTCCCGTTCATGAAGGAGATGTGCGCATTGGCCTGCTAATGCTACCATGCGGTTGAAGGTTACTTCAACAGGGTTTTCGAGAAGGAATGTCAAAGCTGGGAGGTGCGGTGATGTGTGGGTCTCGAATGAGGGTATTTATCATGGACGTTCACGCTGTTCCACTCCGTTCAGCAGCATTCTTGCAGATTCTGTTAATAAGGGGGATCTGTTGAAGTGGAAAGTGGTTATGGGAGTATTCGGTCGAAGTCTCCAGCGATAGCAATACATCTCCATTGCAGTGGCCATCGGCTGTTAAAGGGTATTCCCAATGTGCTTGATGTGTATGTCCTGTGCAGCAAGTGCTACGCCATCTGCATATATGAACTTTTTAAATGATGTACAGTGAGGGAAAAAAGTATTTGATCCCCTGCTGATTTTGTATGTTTGCCCACTGACAAAGAAATGATCAGTCTTAATTTTAAAGGTAGGTTTATTTGAACAGTGAGAGAAAGAACAAAAAAATCCAGAAAAACGCATGTCGAAAATGTTATAAATTGATTTGCATTTTAATGAGGGAAATAAGTATTTGACCCCCTCTCAATCAGAAAGATTTCTGGCTCCCAGGTGTCTTTTATACAGGTAACGAGCTGAGATTAGGAGTACACTCTTAAAGGGAGTGCTCCTAATCTCAGCTTGTTACCTGTATAAAAGGCACCTGTCCACAGAAGCAATCAATCAGATTCCAAACTTTCCACCATGGCCAAGACCAAAGAGCTCTCCAAGCATGTCGGGGACAAGATTGTAGACCTGCACAAGGCTGGAATGGGCTATAAGACCATTGCCAAGCAGCTTGGTGAGAAGGTGACAACATTTGGTGCGATTATTCGCAAATGGAAGAAACACAAAATAACTGTCAATCTCCCTCGGCCTGGGGCTCCATGCAAGATCTCACCTCGTGGAGTTGCAATGATCATGAGAATGGTGAGGAATCAGCCCAGAACTACACGGGAGGATCTTGTCAATGATCTCAAGGCAGCTGGGACCATAGTCACCAATAATACAATTGGTAACACACTACGCCGTGAAGGACTGAAATCCTGCAGCGCCCGCAAGGTCCCCCTGCTCAAGAAAGCACATATACATGCCCGTCTGAAGTTTGCCAATGAACATCTGAATGACTCAGAGGACAACTGGGTGAAAGTGTTGTGGTCAGATGAGACCAAAATGGAGCTCTTTGGCATCAACTCAACTCGCCGTGTTTGGAGGAGGAGGAATGCTGCCTATGACCCCAAGAACACCATCCCCACCGTCAAACATGGAGGTGGAAACATTATGCTTTGGGGGTGTTTTTCTGCTAAGGGGACAGGACAACTTCACCGCATAAAAGGGACGATGGACGGGGCCATGTACCGTCAAATCTTTGGTGAGAACCTCCTTCCCTCAGCCAGGGCATTGAAAATGTGTTGTGGATGGGTATTCCAGCATGACAATGACCCAAAACACATGGCCAAGGCAACAAAGGAGTGGCTCAAGAAGAAGCACATTAAGGTACTGGAGTGGCCTAGCCAGTCTCCAGACCTTAATCCCATAGAAAATCTGTGGAGGGAGCTGAAGGTTCGAGTTGCCAAACATCAGCCTCGAAACCTTAATGACTTGGAGAAGATCTGCAAAGAGGAGTGGGGCAAAATCCCTCCTGAGATGTGTGCAAACCTGGTGGCCAACTACAAGAAACGTCTGACCTTTGTGATTGCCAACAAGGGTTTTGCCACCAAGTACTAAGTCATGTTTTGCAGAGGGGTCAAATACTTATTTCCCTCATTAAAATGCAAATCAATTTATAACATTTCTGACATGTTTTTCTGGATTTTGTTATTGTCTCTCACTGTTCAAATAAACCTACCATTAAAATTATAGACTGATCATTTCTTCGTCAGTGGGCAAACGTACAAAATCAGCAGGGGATCAAATACTTTTGTCCTTCGCTGTACATGGCAGGTCATCTATGTGTAGTGAATAATTGTTCGATAGCAGCAACAACTGCAGGTGGGCACTTAGCGCACACGCCACTGAGCATATACGTGGGTGTTCCGGCAGGGAGGAGGAACTGGGGCAAGGGTCATGGTAGACCTCGTGTGGAAGCCCCTGGAATCCTTTGGAGGGTTCGAGAAGGGAGGCATGGCGCGGGTAATATAAGCAGCGGAGAGCGAGAGCTCTGAGCTGCCGGTTCTGGGATTGGATTTGTCGTCGTCGCCGCCGCCCTTGTCGCTGCCGCCTTCACCTGATCATTGTGTGGCCGGACAGTTGGCTGTCCCGGTCGACGCCGTCGGTGCAACGCAGAAAGGGTCATGTCTGGGACGGGTCGTGCGGCAGCGGGGTCATGTGTGGGAGTGAGAGGGGGCCCGAGTGGTGGCGTGAGCTCGGCAACAACAAAGGGCAGATCGGTGCCTCCTGCGACCACCTCATCTCCGGCTGACTGTGCGACGCACGCCATCCACACGCACAAACGACACTACATTTGGTGTAAGAAGTGGGGTATAAAAGCCCACTGGTAGTGTCATTGGGACTAGGACGGCGAGACGGTCGACCCTCCGACAGCCCTGGGATCCGGGAACCCAGTTAAAAAGCCCGTGGCTGTTCGGCAGCGGAGAAGCTGCCATGGATTGGCGGGACAGCTGCTGCGCAAAAATTGCGGAGTGGGCAGCTACGCATCCGCCGAGGAGAGAGTGGCTGCACAAAGAGGTGGGAGTAGCTACGCAAAGAGGCGGGTGCGGCTACGCATTGACAGAGAGAGGGTGGCTGGGCGTCAACGGCGGGAGCGACTACGCAAGGAGGTGGGAGCGGCTGCGCATCGACCGACAGAGAGCTGCCGGGCGTCGACGGAGAAGCTGCATGTCGACGGAGAGAGAGTGGAAGTTGCATGTCGACGGGGAGAGCGGCCGTGATTTTCCCGTGGTCAAGCGCCAACCACACAGCACGGCGGGAAACCACCATGTGGACAGAGGCGCGGGCCGGCATGAGGCCCGGACCGGCATGAGGCCCGGACCCCAGGGGACGGCGCAGAGTAGAGCAGGGAAAATGGAGGAGCTGCCGTTGGAGCGGGAGCGGGGGTCTCTGGACGGGGGACCACGCACATGGTGTGCATCATTTTGTCATTGGAGGACCTCATGTGGCCGAGGGGCGCCATTTTCAGGCGAGAGCGGGAGCGCACGGAGGCGCGGCGAGTGAGGGAGCTGCAAGAGGCAGCTCCTGATCTGGCACGGGAGGCTCGCACAAGATTTATCCAGAGGGAGCGGATGGAGGATGAAACGCCCTACGCCTTCCGGCCAGCGCTGCTGGTGCTGGGACGCGGGGCATACCCACTTGTGGGTGAGGGGGCGCTCAACTTCCATGTGGCAGAGAGGCTGCGAAGGCTGGCGAGGAGATTGAGGGTTGCCCTGCCCTCCGCCGTCGGCACAGAGATTTCTTCCTTGATAGTGGCCATAACCATCCAGGTCTGTGACGAGCGGCAGCAGCGGGCAAGGTGGGAGGCCGCAGCGTGGAATTTATAAGATATGGCGACGGCGGTGGAGAGCAGGGGAGCTCGGGAGTTAACACCCCCACGGGAGGACCCGCGGCGGGAACAACTCCCTCTACCGTGGAGATCCGTGCTGAAATGCTTCGTGTGTGGTCAATCGGGCCACACCGTTGCTGACTGCCAGGGTGACGAGTGACATCGGTGGAGTCACCCATGTTCGTTGGGCCGCCGGTACGGTAACTTAAGCCCCGTCGGACCAGGTCTCTTTGGCCTACCATGACCGCCAAGTGCGAGGCCTTAGGGACCGGACCCAGGCGGGCGATGCTGAGCGGCGAGGGGCTACGCCCTTTGAGCTGAGGACTCCGTCTCCATCGTCTCTTGGCCCTCCGGGTTCCGGAGGTGCAGGATCCTGCTGGGACGGGGTGACCTGCGCCATGGACTGGATCACGTGAGCTACGTCCCTGATTGGGGGGACTCTCCTTTGCACTGAGAGGGAATCCGGGGGTGAAGAGGTGTTGGGGTTAAGGGCCTGGGTTAAAGGGAAATGAAGGTGATGTGCCGATTCGCGAGCTCGAGGTGCTGCGTGTGTGTGGGGGGGGGGGTTGCCGATTCGTGGATGGGGGGCTGTGAGGGAGTTGCTATTTCGTAAATTCAGGGATGCCGAGTGTGTATGGGGGTTGCCGATTCGCAGATGGGGGGCTGTGAGGGAGTCGCCGGTTCGCGAGTTCGAGGACACCGTGTAAGGGAATGTTGGTTTGTTATCGGGGGGGGGCACCGGGGAGCAGTGGAACATGTTGTTGATTATGGGAGATGTCACGGTTGTAACGGGATTGAGGGATTTTTTTTCGTCGTTGAGGTTCCTCGGTTTAAGGGGGTTGCCCTGCCAGTTGCTGCTGCTGTGTTAACAGCAGGGATGGCTGTTTTTTTAACGGACGGGGGGGGGTCATGTAGTGACATAGCGCTGACTGTTGGACAGCAGCAACTGCAAGTGGGCACTTAGCGTACACGCCGCAGAGCATATACGCGGATGTGCCGGCAGGGCAGAGGAACTGGGGCAACTGTTATTGTAGACCTCGCGTGGAAGCCCCTGGAACTCTCTAGAGGGTTCGAGAAGAGAGGCGCGGCTAGGACGGAGCCGAGCCGTGCCAAGGGGAATATAAGCAGCGGAGAGCGAGAGCTCCGGGCTGCTGGTTCTGGGATTGGACTCGTCTCATCATCGCTGTCGTTGTCACCTCCCTCGTCGCTGCCCCCTTCGCCCGATCATTGCGCGGCCGGACAGTTATCTTGCGATTTACTGGAGAGGTGCACCCTGAGAGTGTGGTGGCTGAGCGTTACGTCACTTAGGTGTAAAGTAGGAAGGTATCTGATGATTTGGACCAATGGAGGAGCCAGGATTTTCAGGTAGGGGGGGAAACCCCTCCAGCAATGAAAAATGATAGAAGTTGTTATTAAGTAAGGACTTGTCCCTTGCTTTTTGTTCGACGCGTGTGTGGCGATGGCGCAGCCATCGATCGAGGGTCGAATTCGAACCGTGTGATTGGCATCGCGCTCGATGAAGGTATGCCTTCAGGGAAGTCGTGTACTGTATACGCAACTGCGCACAATTCTGAGTCACTTATAACTGCTTTTCTGTTACTTATTGTCAATTATGGACTCAGACTATTGTCTTATCACAGGGGTCACCAAACTACGGCCCGCGGGCCGGATTCAGCCCGCGACGTCAGTCCATCAGGCCCGCCGACGGTACTTGAATTTGGTTGATAAAACGTATGGAACACGAGACGTTGAGATACAATTTAAATGTTTAGAATACTAGGAGATCTCCACGCGTTATGTGCCTTAAATTTACTATTTACTAATTATTGTATCTAGATTTTCTTGTTTATTGTAATGTTTGCTTATTTCGTGCCATCCTAAGTCCTTCCCCGGCTCGTGGTAGCTCCGCCTACGCTCTGACGTTACCATGGTTTCTATGGCAACACACAAATACGCATCTTTCCCACCCCCAAGTATTTGAACAGAATGATTATGCGGCCCGCACTCGTCATTCTATCAGTTATCCAGCCCGCTGTGAAAAAAGTTTGGTGACCCCTGTCCTATCATCTCAGAGTCCCTGGCATAATATGCTACACAGTGGCAATGTGGGTCACAAAATGCCGATTTATTACGAATAAACCCCAATGATCTAATCGAAATTAGGGATTTTGATCGGATCATTGGGGGGGCACGTGCCACCCACCCCCCACTGGCTCTGCCAGTGATTTGGACCAACTTCTTGGACTAGTTGGATAAACCCAAAGAGGTCATGGGACTGTATGGAAGGCGAGGCCGTTGGGTGGGGCTTGGTGACGCTATGCTAGCCGTGTCTTCAAAGGCAGAATGTGGAGGCAGCAAGAGGCCTGAGTAAATCGCATGCAAAAAAAGCTGAATACAATTTTCAGTCAATTACTCTTTAATCCGCGGATCGAGTCTTCTTATTACGTAGAGAGAAAAGCCTCACTGAGACAAGACTTTTCAGGAATGATCTTGCCAAGTTTTTGCGGTAGGGGGGCGATGTTGCTGCTGTGCGTAATCACAATCGAATGATTTGAAGTTAATTTTCAGCAGTGCGATGTTTTAGCGAATACCAAATCCATTGTGCGTTATTTTAGCTGTGGGAAGAAACAGAAGAACCCATAGGAAACCAAACTGCGAGACATAAGTGTTACCACCGTTCCACCATTCCGCCCAGATATCGTGACAATCATATCATGAACATTTGTCTCGTATCATACTGTGACAAAACGATATTGTGGCAACTTCGCCAATTGCAATGCCTCAGGTTATCTCTCACCCACGATTCCTGGCGGCGCGTCGCATCGGCATCTATCTGAGCCTGCCGGAAGAGCCCGACACTTCGGCCATCCTGGAATCGGCGTTTCTCCGCGGGATGGCTTGCTTCGTGCCCCGTTACGCCCATGGGGCCCCCGCAGGCCGGGCTGGATCGCCTGCATCACCAGACTCCTCAAAATCACCGGCAGCAGCAGCACCGCCACCGGACATGGAGCTGTTGCGAGTGGCGTCCATGGAGGACGTGCTTTCTCTTCCGCTGACCCCATGGAGAATCCCGCAGCCCGCGATGGATGATGATTCCCGGGAAGATGCAATCCAGGGCGGTGAGGCCAGAGGAAAGGGCTTTTACCCATCACACCATCTCCACCATACTTTTCCTCTGGCTGAGGTTATTACAGGTCACCTGCGTCAGTCTACAGCTACCTGGAAAATGTGACATAGTAAGCCATGACAGAGACCTATGAACTTAGAGACCCGCAGACTTACTCCGGAATTATAATTCTAAGAGAGGCTCGCATAGACGCACATCGAGACCCATAAATTTACTCTCGGCATAATTTTCGGTCGGGACTGTCTGGTTCAGCGACATAGAAAAAATGTCCTCACCTGGTGACATAGCAGAGTATACCCCTGGCTCTGGCTGACTGCATCTGTCTCACAGTGGACATCATCATCGACTGATGTTATCCCAACGAGCTTTGGCCACACCTACCAGTGGCACGATTCAAATTGACTCACAAATTACTGGTTTGGGTAAACCACGTAGCAATATCGTCCTCTACTAGAAGATTAATGCCAATTTCAAAGCCAGTGCTGCGTCAGGGCAGCTGACACTGTGGGTTCCCTTGACAAGACACCACAGTGGGCGCCACAGTGGTCAGATGTTAACTACCTTGCCTGGTATACAGGAGATTGTGGGTTCGACCTTGACCCCTGTATATTTGGAGTTTGCATGTCTCTTCCCGTGGTCAGATTGATTTTTATCCATGTCCTCCGGTTTTTCCCTCCACATTTAGAAACATGTGTTCAGAGTATTTGGCTGCTATACATTTCCACATAAGCCAATTCGTCGAGCTATAATTTGTGATAGCCAGGTCGCTACTGAAAAAGAGCTATGCAGCTCAGTGGGCCTTATCTGATAAAATAAAAAATGGTTTCGTTTGAGTTTCTAGACTGCCACAGACCGGGCAATGGAATGGTTGAGATGAGGTGTGTGATGCAAGGCACCGAGTTGCTGAGACACTTAATGAAGTGCCCTGTACATGCAGTCATTTCCCTGTCGATGATGTAATTGTTGCTGTTATTGTCAAACAGGAGAGCTGTACCCCGTGATTGTTGTCGTTTTTTATTATCATCATTGTGGTTGTAGTTACCAACTGGCCAGGTGGCTCAGCAGTACGGTGAGCAGCCTGCTAATCAGAAGGTGTACGAGTTCAAATCCAGGTTGGGGATTGACTTGGCCTATCTTCTCTTTGGGATTGATAAAATAACTACCCCTCTGCAGGGAAATCAAAATTGGCTGCCCATAGGAGCATGACATTTCCACCATTGGCTCAGGGTTGTAAACTGTAGACGAGCACTGCTCTATCGAGCAGAAAACCACTTTAACTTGAGTTGTTACTCTCTTGGGTGTCGCTGCAGCTATCGCTCTTTGTTGTTGTGGTTGTCACACAGGAGGGCTGGACCTTTTGATCGTCCCGGGCCTCGCGTTCTCCCGTGATGGCCGTCGTCTCGGCAGGGGGAAAGGATTCTACGACCGCTTCCTGTGCCGCCTGCGCTCCGCCGCGCGGGGGAGCGCGCTGGCACCTCACCCATACACCCTCGCCGTCGCCTTCTCCGTGCAGATCCACGAGGACATCCCTACGGAGCACGTGGACGAGCTCATCAACGAGGTCCTCACGGTGTGAGGGCCGCGGCCAGGGAGACTGGATGAAGCTTCTCCTTTAGCCAAGACCCATAACCTGCAGCATCAATATTCACGACGTGATTATTACTACGACTGTCAATTCCCATCACTTTTGAACCGCTTTGCCTTGTTAATGCATCGCAAAAAAGGTGGCAAGCGTTAATACGTTCGCGCCGTCCAAGTGTCTGTAATAGGGATCACGAAAACTCTCGCGATAGATAACTTCATGTAAATGAAACTATAGTTGTTGCTTACCCCATAAATAAATTGCCATTTTGATCAAAGATTGCCCAAAACTTGAAAATAACAATCGGGTGCTAGGCATATCAACATTTTTGTCCAAGGCGATGACATGCATCATGCGAGCACTGCAACTCCCCCTCCTCTCCAGGTGATATCAGGAGGCGTGATGTCATTACCATATCATGCTTCATGTGACAACCCATGTGACTTGAAATGTATTATCCTGATTGCTCATTAAATACTTCCTAGGCCAAACGAATGGAAAGTTTTCCAGAATCAATGCATTTTTATGTTTTGTTTTCCCAAAACCTCCAAACAATGTTCATCTACTGAGTGCTGGTTTGCGTCTTCCAAGTGTTGGCCAACATTTAATCATTGACTGCTTTTCAATAAGGCGAGTTACTCACAGAAGCACAACTTTGCGTTAATGTTGTATTTTGGTTCATGATAGTTATCTTGACCCCATGTTGACAGAAACGATTTAAAAACCTAGTGGCTTCTTGATGTCTTTCCCTAGAGTGAAGGAGCAATGGTCCAGCGGCGTTCCACAAATGTACGATTCACGAGATTAGGTTAATCAGAAAATGGACATTAATTGCACGTTTATATCCGTGTGATGTCACTGCTGTACGGCTTCCATAATGCAATGTGGGAGCCAGCACAAGTTTTGTCTTGAACAGCCTGTAGCTGCATCGATTAAACATAATTACGCTAATGGTAGATTAATCTAATTCTGCGAGAATAGATTATCCCTTCTCACATGTTGCATGATTGGATGTGAACCCTGCAGCCACTAGTGGCGCTACTTTAACTACAATGGGAAAAAAGTATAATTGATTCAGTCGTGACGAGGGGGTTTAATCGCCACATCGCTCATGTCAAAGTAGAAGTCATTTAATCAGTTGGCATCGGGCTTTAGCACTAATACATTACTAATCTTCAATGAATACATTATAATCAATTATCATTGAAATTATATTCAACATTGGATCAGTTTTCATCTCCATAACCCTTCTAATTGATCTCAACACATCTCCAAACCATCTAAGTCTAGCCTGCCTTACCTTCGAGGATATCAGTGACCTCTGCTATGGGTCTTAACTTAATCATTCTGCTTCCTTTGCCATATATTCCCAATATCCTTCTCGGCTTTCTCCTTTCAATTAGTGAAATGTTCATAATATGGAAGCGCAACAGAATCCAGCAACAATGTATTTCATTTCTTAAAACTAAAAGAAACGCAAGGCCATGATGTACTCGAGCCATGTTAGGGCAGGTCACTGGCAAGACGTTTACTGTGAACAACTGTAGCAACTTGGTATGACAGTTGGCAGTGTGACAATAGAGTTGTGTATAGTTAATTAACACAGTTTAAAAACAACTTTTCTGGAAAGGGCTGGGTCTCTTACATCAGAGCGCTGAGCTGGCACAACTGAAATCTTGGCTTCGAGTCTGGGTTTCAACCATCCAAACATAATAAATCCGGTATCTCAAGGACTGCGAGTTTATGGTCTCAGCCCGGTCAACAAAAAAATATATTTTGGTTTTGCACTTGATTTGGCAAAATTCCAGCTTTGACTATCGATTTAACAGTTCACCAATCGCTTTAGATACATATAAGAGATGTCAAAAAAAGTAGAATAAGTCTTCATTGCACAAAACCTCGGCGTATGCGCATTTTATCTGTTATCTGATTCAGAATCAGAATATTTAGCCTGGAGGAATCCGATGAACTATGAAGCTTTTTCAGCGATGCCCAGTTACCCACTAGGGGGGAATCGATCAGATTGGGCAATGACACGTTTACAATAGAAAATTGAACAGCAACAATTTCAGGTGGCAATTGCTATAAAATGTATCTGCATTACCAAAATAAAATATTAAAACTAATGTTAGTGCCTCGACAAACAAATCTGGTGGAAGTTGCTCATGCAAAATCATGACGTAAAAAGCAGCTTGAATTAGGTTCCATGTGTTGTGCAAGTGTTCGTTTCTCAGTCCACTTGTCCAAGTGAGGGTCGTGGCGGCAGCTTGTTGAGTAAGGCGGTCCAGACCTCCCTTTACCTGGCAACATACTCTAGCTCTTCCTGGGGAATTCCCAGGCGTTCCCAAGAAAAACCGAGCGACAGTCCTGCCAACGTGTCCCTGGCCTGGCCCCTCGGGGTCTTTGCTCAGTGTGGAAGTTGTCTTTTTCATATATTTATCCATGCCTTTTCATAATTGTATCTCGATTGCGCTGTCGGGTAAACGGAGGACGTAAGTATAAAAAAGAGCAAAGTCGATCCAAGAGGAATATTGAAAGTCAACAGCAAGACCTGGAGTAGCATCGGACATTGGATGCCAGGGCATTTCACCAAAATGGGAAGTCAAAGCCAGAGATGCTTTACTCTTTTGTTTCTTTCGGTAAAGTCACGTAGGAATAAAATAAAATAAATAACGTTTCGTGCACAAAACAAGCATCCGTCATCAGGTGGGACAACCACAGCAAGAAACAATTGCTGAAGTGGGCAAAAGGGCTGCTGTAACAAGAGGCTATATAGGCAAGAGCGGGGGGGAGGAGCCAGGGAGGAGAGACAGAGAGGGGGGGTAGGGGGAGTGGAGTGCTGCTGAGTGAAGAGCAACTAGAAAAGATTAAAGGGCGAGCAGAGACAATGTCGGGGGGAGGGGAAAAGAGCAGGGCTGGGAGTGGGGAGCTGAAGCAACAGGAGATGCGGATATTAAGGCAACACCATAAAGCATTTAAGGTTTTACCTGGTGAATAACATCCTTCCAATGATTGCTCAATTTGTATCCATCTTCTCGGTTGAAGTTATGTCTATGTTTATATATCTGGATGGCTTCATGAACAAACCTTTGATAGTAGCCCGAAGGTTTGCAGAGCACCTTGGTCTCGGAAAAAAACAATATCATGAGAGTCCACAGCATTATAGCAATGGTCAGCGGAGGTATTAGTCCTGTCGTGTTTCAGATCTGCCTTGTGCTCGCGAACACGGTCCGAGACATGTCGTTTCGTTTCCCCAATGTAACAATCACCACAGGTGCAACTTGGTTTGTAGACTCCAGGATATTGCATGTCAGGAATAACATCCTTCACAGATGGGATTAGATCACGGATTTTGTATACTGTACTCAATTGGACCTGATTATTGTGTTTGTTTAAGATTTTGTAAATATTTTTGGTAACGCCTACTATGTATGGTAACGTGATGGTTTTGATCGGCGTCTCAGGGGGTTGTTTCTCCATGGTTGGAGAAACAGCTTTCTGGATGTGGTCCGAATATCCATTCATCTTAAGGGCCTGGTGTACATGTTCCAGTTCACTGGCTAGGTGGTGTTGGTCATAAATGCAGTAGGCCCTATGGTGTAGTGTTTTGATGAGGGAATTCTGTGCCGGATGGTGGTGGGAATCAGGTTTCAGATAGGAATCTGTGTGGGTGGCTTTCCTGTAGACAGTGTCCCAAAGAGCCATCAGGTCTCTTCTCAAACAAAACATCCAGGAATGGTAGTTTACCATCCTCCACTTCCATTGTGAATTTGATGGATGGGTGTATGGAATTAATGTGGTTGAGAAATTGGTTCAATGCTGGCAGGCCATGTGGCCAAATGACGAAAGTGTCATCCACATATCTCTTCCACAAGGAAGGACGTAGGGTGGATGTCTGGATGGCATCTGTTTAAAATTTCTCCATGAAAACATTCGCTATCACTGGTGATACGGGGAACCCATGGGGGTACCTTCATTTTATTTTTCGATTTAAAGCTTTCGTGACTGCAAGGATTCATCTTCTTTGGTTCTTTCGGTAAAGTCATGTAGAATGACTTTACCGAAAGAACCAAAGAAGATACCTTCATTTTGTTTGTAGAAAGTACCATCCAGGTGAAGTAAGTGTTGGTAAGGCAGTGCTTAACCAGAGTAGGAACATCAGGGTTCAGTCCATGTTGGACTAAATCTTCTATTATTGCTAAGGTGTCAGGCACAGGAACCTTGGTGAACAGAGAAACCACATCAAAGCTGACGAGAAAATAATCTGGGGACAGTGAAATGCCCTTGATTAGAGAGACCAAGTGAGCTGAGTTATGTACTGCTGAGGTAGTCTTGCCAGTGAATGGAAGCAAGGTATCAGACAGAAAACGGGCCAGCTTGTAGATAGGCGAGTTGATATTGGAAACGATGGGCCGAAGTGGAGTGCCTTCTTTATGGATCTTCGGAAGACCATAGAATATGGGTGGTCTAACAGCAGAAGGTTTTATGGAGAGCCGTTTGACTGGTTCGATTAGAGAAGTCGAACTGGTAATGATATTGTTGTTTTTTGTAGTCAGGCTGTTAGTAGGATCTTTGTTGATTTTGATGTAGCTGCCATCATTAAGGTCCTGGATTTTGTTGTTGCATGTGGTTTGTGGTTGTCCCACCTGATGACGGACGCTTGTGTTGCACCCGAAACATCGTGATTTAATTTATTTTATACCTACGTGACTTTACCTAAAGAACCAAAGAGTATGGATCCCTGCAGTCACAAAAACTTCAAATCTAGATCAGAACTTCAAATCTAGAACCCAAACTGTACGTGACAATCTGTGGGAATACCACGACCAAGGGGAAGAGCAAAGTGCTGATGGTGGGAGACCATCAAGGCTGATGTTGGAAGTGGCTGCTCCTCCCCTATTCAGCAGCAGCTGTTCCTGAGTCGAGCAAGAAGGTGATGGCGAGGGTTGGCTAGATGTGCAGCGGCAGTGGTGGTGGCATCAACGCCTTTGAACATAGTAACATCCTTATCATGGAGACACAAGCCATGCAGTCAATTCAGATTTAATTGTATGGTTAGGGTAGGGGTTTAGGATTAGGGTTAGGCTAGGGTTAAAGGAGTAGGAATTAGTGATTTTGGTTAGGGTTAGAGATTAGGGGTAAGGGTTAGGGTTTAGTTGTGAGGGGTTATGGTGAGGTTAGGGGATGTAATACATTTACTATCACAGCTTGGTATTAAATCAGTTTTCATATAAAAATAGGAAAAACATGTTACCAATTTTTTTCACTGCATGGTATAAATTCCGTATTAAATTCAAAAGAGTAATTTTTCAGATTTTGACCATAAAATTAAATGGGTATGTTGGGTTTCTCCGAGAAAAATCACCAATATTTTAACCTTTACTGTTTAGAGAGATCTGTCTACAGAACTCCTCCTGCTAGAGGGCCTCTCAAGCGCTTCCCGCAGCATGATCCGCACCTTCTATCAGCACGGCTGGCTACGTATGGTGTAAAAGAAGCTCACCATACTGTACATACATTCGAGTACCTGAGGTCTGGGGCCAGAGCCACTGAATGCTCTTGTATCCTTGAGCACTGCTCGGGCGAGGCAAGGTCCCCCGTGGATGTAAATACATCTCTAAGTACATTTAGTAAGTACACTTATAAAACACGCAACTCTTATAACCTACTATATTATCACGAGTGCGCAATATTCATACATTGTAAGCTCTATTCAAGTTCTGCCTTGCATATTCTCCTGAGCTTGTTAAATATCTGTAGAGTTTTAAACATCGTGAAGCGGCAATGAGTTCCAGGCCGATGGACCGCTCACTGCAAAGCTGCGAGGTTCAAATCTCGCCGAGTGTGTGGAATGATCAGGTGGTCACCATGAGCTGCTGAGCGATGATGGCAACGATTGACAGGGGAGTGGACCGGCACATACCACGTGACCATTAGAGTGGAGCAGACTGATGAATATGAGCACTCAGATCGCAGTTTTAATTAAATTATGATGCTGGCGGAATTGCTTCGTACAGCCTGCAGTGCAGGCCCGAGGTGAGGCTTGTTCCGAGCGAGGTGAGCGTGTATGGTGAGCATTGTCAGTGTGAGTGGTGAGCGTGTCCAATAATGAAATGATGAACCAGGACGCCAGGTAGGTCAGAAGTTCTTAAAGCTATTGTGGGGTCACCGTCATGGGTCGCACCGGAGATATACACAGCGATGGTGGGGGCCTCGGTGGCCTGGTGGACGGTTCTTCCCTCTGCCGCTTGTCCGTCCCCTTCATGTGCCGTTGGTTTCAATTTTCTTCGGCGGTGCAATGGTCATCCGTCCGTGTTGCCCGTGTGGTAGTGCATGGGGTTGTTAAGACACCGCTCCCACCAGTGTAAAGAGGGTGGCGAGGTGACCTCGGACGAAACAAGTCTTCTCTTTAAACGTTGGGCGGGTTTATTAACAAAGTTGAACATAAACTATCAGCAGAGAAATAATGCACATTGCATCGATCAGTGTGCTGTGTGCCACCCGCTACCCATACCCACCCTCAACAGTCCACGCGCTGATCGGCAGCACGAAACTAAAACCTTCTTTGCGGCTGCCGTCTCTACCCATGCCATCCCCTCCCCTTGGTCCCCTTCCCCTATTCTACGTTTTACCAAGGTCCTGCCAATCTCTCCGCCCCCCTAGAGTCCTCAGGTGCCCCGTCCTCTACACGTTATCCCAGTGCATCCGCACCCCTTCTACGTTGCAAACCCCTCCTACGTTGCAAACCCCTCCTTGTCCTAATGTGCCTGTCCCCGTCTGTACTGTCCCACCGAGTTCCTGTCCCCTGTGACAAAAAAACAACTTTGGTAACCAGGCTGAGACGTTTAAATCACTGAACTTGAGAACTACAAGCAGCTGAAACCCAGAATCAGCTCAAGTGCCGACCACAGCCCTCCTTCCATCTCTAAAATTAGATTTTTTTTAAATATGTACACTATACTCTAATTGCCGTTAACTACATTCATTTCACAACAATTATCACTGGTTATCAAAAATGGTTAATCATTGTAGACTAAGCACAGATACTGATGTAGGCAACATCGCTGAATTTAGGAAACAACACAATCACAGCGAATACTTTGTGACCGCGTCTCAAGACCCTGCGCGCTACATGTGGGTGCATTCATTCTGTGGAGAGAGGCAGCCGTAGGCATTGCACCAGGAAGCTTCCTCCAGCGAGCGGACTGTTTGCTGCCGCTATGGCCTCTGGCTGGACAGGGCGAAGGACACGAATTCCACGATGGAGCGGATGGACTGGCTGCTGAAGTGACTTCCGTATGCAACCTGGACTTTCTTCAGAGCCTCAATGATCTCTGCACTGAGCAACAAACAAGGATCACGATGTTCCACTGGAGAGCAAAACGCTTTCCACATTGCAAATGCAACCGTCAGCGCTGCTGCTACTGCTGCTTAAGTGAGAAACATCTCCACCGCCGACACACACAGTTGTAAACTCCGTCGCTTTTCAAATGCCACCGCGAAATGGAAGACTGCGCCCACACAGCAGTGGCCACCGACCTGGTGTGGTGGGGATGCTGCTGGTGTAGCAACATCAGCAGCCGCCTCACGCCGTCGCTCACGCCGGCGCCAGTGGCTGCAGGGCTGGCGGTGGGGTCCGGAGGAAGTGCGGCCGCTCCCGGGGCCGGAACAGGCCCTCCGCTCTCACCCTAAACACAGCAAACGGCTGGGGGTTCACAGGCGCCTGCTCAGGCAATGCCCAACGCTGCTGCTCTAGAAGTGAGCTGCACGTTAGCTTTGTTCATCCGTCCATAGCGGAGGGGGTCGAGTGACCCTCGTAAAGCTGATGCAATATAAGTACATCGTATAAAGTTGTTTTCTCCCATATAGTTTACCCTTGCTGTCAGTGTCATGCGATGAGACAGAAGTAGAATCTCAGAGCAGTGGGCTTGTGTCAGAGTGTGGCGGAGATTTATTACGTGATGTCTCCCAGCAAAACCCTCCCAGTGGCTCCTCTCTCTTCCCTGCGCCTCTCTACGCGGAGCGGTGGCAGAGCGGTTATCTCACGGAGCTATGATCCCAACGATCCAAAGTAAATTCCTGTCCATGGCTATAATCAGCGGAGAATTATATCTTAATGGATCCTGACTCCCCCTACCACCCAATGAGTTTAGTCACACAAACCACCCCCGTCCCGCGCAGTAATGAGTGAGGTTATTGGCACCGTGTTTGTGTCTGCGATGTCCACTTCTCCATGTTCCTGCTGCACACCGAGCCTCTGCTTCAGAATCCCACCACTGTTGTTCCCCTGGTCTTCTGGTTTGTCTGGCGGACCACCACTGCAAGTAGCTGCAGCGGCCCATTCTGCCGAATTGGGCTTTGAATCCACGGCAGCAACAGCGGCAGTGACAGCGGCAGTGACAGCGACAGCACGGGCATCTTCAGGTTGAGTTTCGCTCCGGGTGATCGTTTCCCGTGGGACCGCCGTGTCCGACTTGGGTCGCGCCAGCATGAAATAGCTCGATTGAGTCCAGGTAGGCGTGGTGGTGGGAAATCCGAGACAGCGGTGGCTCGACGGCGACGCGAGCTCGTGGTCTCCCGGAGAGCTATGCACAGCGGAACAGTTTTGACCAAACACTGGTTCCTGGGTCTTGGTTTCAAACACCAATTGAATCGGTTGCTCAAGTGCAATGGAAGCACGTGAGATGGCGCCGCACTGAGGCATTGCACCAGGCTGCTGGATTCCCAGCTGCGGCACCCCTGGCGCTGCTTTGTCTGCGTAATTACTGCCCAGTATCTCTACGACCTCTCCTTTAGGTTGTGTTTCTGGGAAAGAGTCAGAGTAGTGGTCTGTCCCAAAGAGCACCTACAGAAACAAAACCAGAAAACATTTTAATTGAAACAAAATGCACTTCTACGTCACTTATTACAAGAGGATCACCATGAAAATTTTATTTCGGGAAAATATTCAACTGCAAACCACTCTAAATGTAAGACAGAAAAGGCTTAATTATGGTGGCTCAGAGGACATAAGTGTCTGTGCTAACACCACTTAGACCCTAGGTGCAAACATAGGCTTCAACCGCCAGCGATTAAACTGGGTTCTCGAGTGTGGTAAGTTGATGGTCTCAGCCTGGCCACCAATCATTTATTAGACAAATAAAAGTCGTTTGATTTTGGTTTTGCTCTTAATTTAACTAAATTTCTGCTCTGATAATTCAAAATACAGGCAGACCTCGCTTAGCGCTACCCGGTAGAAGGCCGATTCTGTTACACCACTTTGTCCTGGAAAAAAATGCTGCTTAAAAAATGTTAAATCTTAAAAGCACCCGATGCCATCTTTGTTTATATTCGCTGAGCCAATGAGAGTGAGGCGCTCTGAGCCGAGCAGCGCTTGCTAGTTATTACAACACGCCGCCCGCCAACGTGCGTTTACTCCGCCTTGGTCTCTCTCTCTCTGTCTTGTTCTGGTATGTTGTTTGTATGTTGTTGAGCATTTTAGACCCATGTCTGTAAAAAGGCCTGCAAGTGTTAGTGCTAGATATGTGACCAAAGTGTCAAGGAAAATTATCACTTTGGATGTTAAAATGCAAGTGATAAGGCAGGTCGGGGCAGGCGAGCATCAGGTCGATGCACTGGGGAGTACAGGAAATAACACAGATAAATAAAAAGACTTACCATCTATATTATTAACGCGATTACTGATACCCCAATGAAGCCCTCATATATTGCTAATATGTAAAAAATAACGCGGTCGGGAACGCATCCCCTTATATACAATGGTATTATGACCCAGTTTAGTGCTGATTGGATTAGCGCTCACTTGTTCCAGGAACGCATCTTGAGTGCTAAGCAAGGTCTGCCTTTATTGTTTTAGGTGTCACATTAACACCTCACAGTAGTGAGGACGAGTGCACCCCCTAGTGTATGAGCAACAGAATTGCCACTTTTAAGAATTTTGGACAAGTCCCTGTAACAAAATCTCTGCTGTCACCCATTCTTTGACACACAGGACGCTGCTGTCACGTCCCCCGATGGATTCTTCACCTCATTGCATGACGCTGATTTAATGAAAATATTTTCATTGCCTCACAGCAAGACATCTGAGACTTTTTTTTGGATGTCTTAATTAAAAGGAGACCTGATGGTTCAATGAGTCACTCTGTCTACAGGAAAGCTACCCATACGGATGCTTACTTAAAACCGGATTCACACCACCATCCATCCCAGAAGAATTCCCTCATCAAGACTCTATACCATAGAGCCCAGTGCATTTCCGAGCAGGATCATATTGCCAGTGAACTCAAACACGTACACCAAGCTCTCAAGGCTAATGGTTACTCCGACTACACAATCCGCAAAGCCACCACTCCAGTCACGAAGGTTCCTCTTTAGGAGCCATTCAAAACCATCACCATACCCTACATTGCTGGGGTCACAAAAAAGATTGCCAAAATCCAGAATAAACACAAGATCCAGGTCCGATTCAACACAGTACATAAAATCCGTGATCTGGTTCCGTCTGTAATAGATGCTGTTCCAGATATACAGTACCCGGGTGTTTACAAACTAAGTTGCCTCTGTGGTAGCAGCTACATTGGAGAAACCAAACGACATATCTCGGACCGCATCCGCGAACATAAAGCAGACTTGAAACACAGTAGGACTAGCTCCTCGACCGTGGCAGATCACTGTTATAATTCCGTGGGCTCACATGACATTGACTTCTCCAAGACGGAGGTTCTTTGTAAGCCATCCGGCTACCATGAGAGATTCGTTCATGAGGCCATCCACATATACAAACACAGAGACAATTTCAACCAAGAAGATGGATTCTGGCTTAGTAACCATTGGAAAGATGTTATAAACCATTTTAGTTCTTAATTGATTGTATTTTACGGTGACTTTCAGACCGCAGTCCATTCGCTAGCACTGCCTCTTGATATCTTTCACACCACAGTCAATGGTATGGTTTATAACATGTAGTATAATAATAAATAGTACAGCATCGTAATGTTTAACATAATTCATAAGGCAATATATAGTATCGTAATTGCATAATGAATATACAGCAGTGTGTCATACATTAAGGTTGACAGAATAAGACAGTGTAATATTACAAGTCTAATATTTGTATAGTCTTAAGTATAGGGTAGTGCACAGTAACGCATTGTATAACTCAAAAAATGTTCCCACTGCCCCCGTGCAGTGGTTTACCGGACGTACCGCACCATCAACAGAACAAAAGAATTATTAACTTAATTTTCCCACTGCCCCCGTGCAGTGGCCCACCGGATGTACCACACCATCAACAGAACAAAAAAATGATTAACTTAGCCCCACACCCCATCAATGTCCCCCACTTGGCCCCGCCCTTAACCTGTATTTAAGCTCGAGGCTCTCACAGCCTCCCCACTTGATCAGCGATCTTGCTGTGACTGTCCCACCTGAAGACGGAAGCTTGTGTTACCTCCGAAACGTCGTGAGAATTTTTATTTTTTATTATTATTGTATCCCCATTCTACATGACTTTACCGAAAGAACCAAGAAGACATCTGAGACTGTGAGGCTATGCCAGTGTCATAATTATAAACGTGGTTACTCTGTTCATGGCACTGAATGTCACAAATTTAAATGACTGAGATTTTAAATAATAAACAAAGTGCCACACAATTATTAATCCAGCTTGGGTAAACCCAGGATGGATCAGGTAGGCCAGGAGGCCACTGAACGCTGATCAGGCTCAAACTTATGGCAAAAAGAGGTGAAAGAACAGGATGGAATGCTTTTGGAAAGCTGAATTTGACAATGAAAATCAACGCAATCATGTGCCAAAAGAAAGTTTCCATCAGTTTGCGCTGCCGAATGTGACGTACGGACACACACTGGCAAAGAGAAGGAACACAAGCTTAAACGTGCGCAGAGAAGCAAGGAGATATGCATACTTGCACATACACTGAGAGAATGAGTAAAGAATAGTCTTGAGAACACAACAAACACAAATGGGAGACCTCACATTGACTGTTAATGGCAGTTATTTGTGCAGGATCCTCTGCTAGAAGGGGCAATGCCCGACGGATGAGCCTAACAATGGCACGGCTGTCAGAACGCCCTCAAGGGGACCACCACGGAGATGGAGCGACGTGACCAGCTCGCGTGCAGGAAGGAGCGCGGCATTGCGAGACCACGAATGGTGGTGACGGCGTGGGGAGTCCCTCACGTGGCGGTGATGGACGATGCTGACGTGGTCAAGAAGACCCGGAGCTTCGTAGGAAGCAACAGGCCAGACGACTTCCACATAGCGTTAAGTGGCCAACTAAAATATGCCGCTCGACTGATTCGGAGCGAGACCTCTTCTGTCAAACTGGAGTTGATCGTGAGCACGCTGCCAAGATATGGGAACCTGCACGCTATCACAAAGCAAACGGGAATACAGCACCTTCCAGGGACAGTACGGCTTGATCAAGTAGCGTAGAGAATGCAGAGCGAAGGAGAGGGGCTCTGTTGCATCGAGGTGGCCCCCGTTCTCAAGGAAGCGCTGAATCTTCTGATAATTGCAGTTCAACTGCTCCAGTGCCGTTGCTGCGATGCGCACAAATTCCCGATCCGCTGAGTTCTGTAGCAGACGCGCGCAGACAACGGCAACGCGTCAGCCTTATACCGACTCAGCCACTCGTGTTTGTGATGTACAACCTTTTATCGACCCACTGCTGGATGATGCCCCCCCTGCCGCTTTCGGCTACAAGGGCTGTTGCACTAAACTTCGCTACCCCGATCAGCGCAGGATTGTGAAGGGAGTGCTCAGGAGTGGCTAGAATATATCGCTCGCCACGCATTTTGCCCACGGAAACGAATCGAACTCTGTTTGCTGTGTTCATAGCGTGTTGCCTGCCACTGCTCCACCCTGATGGGAGTCTCACGGTTTTAAAAACTATTATTCACACAGTCTCATAGGGTATCAAAAGAGATACACACACATACGTAACTTTTACCTCACTTGAAAAGTGTGGCACAGTGTGGTTTGACACGGGAAATTATTCTTTTAACATCATTCAGATTGAGGCATGGCACCGTGGTTCATGTACTGGGCTATGAACCGGGGAACCAAAGTTTGATTCCCGGCCACGGCTAACATCAGTGGCAAGCGATTTCTGAACCAGTCCTGGGCCACTCCTTTAACAAACCCACAAAAGAGGCCTTCATCCAGCAGTGGATTGATAAAGACGGGTACACCGTGGACAGATCACAATCGTACACGCAAGAGAGTGGGTGCAAGGGATGCGCATGACTGACCCTCTGTTCTCTAAGTGCATCTGAAGCAGGGCACAGAGCTCTGTTGTATTCCCGCAGGCACAGCTGGTATTGCACCTCCAGCAACCTCAACTCAGAGATCTCCGCACGTCTTCTGTCGTCGAGCTGGGTGGGACTTTCCTCGCCGCTCCCGGGTCCCTCTGCATGAGCGGTGGCTTTCAGCTGCTCGCGCAGCCTGGCAGAAGCAGTCGTGTGAATTCTATCAGATTTTATGCAACCAGAGCTGGCATTATCTATACCAGCTGATAGAACCAGGTAAACCACTGTTGACGACTTGATATTATTCCTACGCAGAAGATTCGCGTTGCACAGTATCTGAGCTTATGAAAAACATAAGTGAAGTAATTTTACTCGTGAGCTGAATATTAGTTGCTCCTCACTCGTCGAAGGTCAGTATATCAGTTGACCACAAAACACATCGGTATGTAAACCAATTACTTTAAAAAGCAATTTAAATAGATGCCACATTTTGTGTCTTCACTTAATTCACAATGAACGTGTTTTAAAACTTCATTCCCACGCATTTTGCGTTACCTGTTTTGTTTTACCCGGGAGTCCACTCCCCTTATACCCCAGATAATCGAGAGTTGACCGTATTTAGGTAATGTATATGGAAGGGAAGTCCTTAATTGTAAGAAGGGCACAATTACTCACGTGACGTTGTTTATCTGATAACAAAGTTGATAAACGCCCACGTTTACAGGTAACGCGGGTGCAGTGGCGGTTCACACACTGCGCTACGAACCTGGCAACCCGTGTTCTATTCCCAGCCGTGGCTGCCCCAAATGTGGCGGGCGATATCTGAATCGATCCTGGGCTACCCCAACTTCACAAACAGTGACCGGCGTGATGAAGCATGGCTAACGGCGCGACCTTCTTGCAGCGGTGGATGACCGAGGAGACGCACGTTGTTACAAGTGATCCGCAGAGCCTGCACCACAAGGCCCAATTCGACACCTTCCCCACATGCGTGGAGGGATGGTAAAGGCTTCTCAGGAAAACTTTGATTGGTTATTAACAAAATGGATGATTAATAACATTATTAAAACCAACACGAGCGTTTTGCGAACACCATTCTAGCTGAAAGCCTCCCCACGCCGTGTCAGTCATGGTGGTTATTTGAACATACAGGGTGTTTCAAAAAGATGTACCTGATTTTAAATCGCTATATCTCTTCAACCACGAACCGCCCATGAATGAAATTCTTAACACTTGAAAGGGCGGGGCATAGAGTTTCAAATGAGTTCCACCAGATACCTCTCTTAGCGCACAAACAGCCACTAGCCTCAGTCATTCGCAAGATTGCGACCCCGCAACACAAGGCGTTTTGCGTTCTGCAGTTCAGCAAGACCGAATCCGTAATTGCGGTGCAGCGTGCGTTTCAACGGCGTTTTGGCATTGATCCGCCAATGTCAAAGAGCATGGTGGCACAAAAGACCATGTTTGTGTGCCACCATTAGCGACTAATCTGGATGACCTCAAAAACAGAATCACGGCAGCGGAGACTTCAGTGGAAGAATACACTTTGAGAGGCGTTTGGGACGAATTAAACTATCGTCTCGATGTTGTCGATTCACCTTGGCCGGGAATCAAATTTGGGTTACCGGGTTCACAGCGCCATGCACCAAGTGTCGTGCCACCATCCCCCCGAGCCGCTGATCATGAACGCACGTTAACAGGGGGAGAGGCGTCAATCCATTTAATACGATGACTGGAACACAGAGGTTCGTGAATCCCATTGATACAAAGCAAACACAACTCACTCTGGATCTGTGAAGGGAACACACGTGACCGCACTCCAAGACGCTGCATACGACAAAGAAAACCCCAGTATACCCTTCAGACTGTTGAAGCAAGTATGTACGTATGTATGTTGAAGTTCTTTCGCAACGTACATAGCCAACCGTGATGAGAGGTGCAGGCACCTAGTTAGGCCGGCACGACGCACGAGGTGGGAGGTCAACACCACGCCCAGCCGCCTTTGTCTCCCCAGTCATGATGTTTACACACCACACGAGGTACTAATTTGAGGCTGAGTCGACCTAGGGGAGGCCCAGGACCGGTTCAGACAATAGTCACTGGTGTTGGTGGCCGTGAGCGGGAATCGAACTTGGGTCACGTGGCTCCTAGCGAAGCGCACTAACTGTTGCATAACCGCTCCCCACAAGACGCTGTAAGGACATCAGGGAACGCGCGCATCCAGGGAGGTAAAAATGGGGATTGAGAATGTTTACAGCACTGTAATCATTGCTCAGAGCTCATGGGAGAAGAGTAAATTAATACAATTCACCAGCAGAGACAGTCACAGGTGCAAGGGAAGTGGAGTACTGAGAGCCTGGACTTGGAGCAGGTGATGGTTCTCAGTATTGGGGATGGGCTGTTGACAATAGCTCCAGACTATAGGGGCAGCAGCAGAGAAGGGGGCAACCCCGATTGAGCAACATTTGAATGAAGGTTCTGACAGGAAGCATTGGTTGCTGTAGACGAGAGAAAGTGAAGCAGAGGAGAGAGATGAGATGTGGCAGAGGGGAGTAGAGTGAATTAAGCATGGAGAATACGAGATAAAGCTTGCATTTTATTGCTGAGATTGCAATAGAAATGGTACCTCTTATTGATGATCATGAATTTTTTGTTTCTTCTGAGAGATGTTATCAGGCATTGCCAGGTGATGTAAAGATCAGATGCCTGCGGAGACAGAGTCACTTCCATTGACAAATCCAGATGAAGAGATGATAACACTGTGGCTCATAAGTGACTGACTCCATCACTATAAACGAGTCAAACACGCAACCTTGGAGCAATGTTCTTTGGTTCTTTCGGTAAAGTCACGTAGAATGAGAATAAAATAATAAATTGACAAAATAACACAATAATATTCTCACGACGTTTCGGCCACAACACAAGCGGCCTTCATCAGGTGAAGGGACGAGACTGTCTGGTAGGACAGCGCTGTCCTACCTATTCTCATTCTACGTGACTTTACCGAAAGAACCAAAGAAGATGAATCCTTGCAGTCACGAAAGCTTTAAATCGAAACTTGGATCAATGCTTAGGTCAATCCTTCTATTCAAAATGGAGATAAAACAAACTTGAATAACTGCACACCCATGAAGCACTCATCGCACAGATATAATTTACTCATGAAGATCACTGGGAACATAATAACAAATTAGACGGGAGCAGACAGAGTTTAAAAAAGACTTACCATCAATCACACGCACTATAAATCTGTCTGGAAGTGACCAATGAATTCTGATTACAATGGCGCCTGGCCTTTGTCGACAATGAATATGCATTCGACTCAGCAGAGATTGAGTCATCCAAGCTCTCAAAAAAATGCAAACCACACTGTGCTAACCACTGCACCATCACTCTCCGCACACATATAAGATTAGAGACAAAATTTCTACCCAGTCCAAAGCAAGCAAGCCCTAATGAATACGTGTTTGTTTTTAACTTAAGCTGCTACCAGCACTGAGAAACAATTCGCGAAACACAAATACATTGTCTAAAAGCATCTAAATACCAGACCATGCGCTGCACTATAACATGTGATAAGCAACATCCAAAATTGGTCATGGATCTCTCCTCTACCATCCTGCACAAGCTGGTTTTCATTCAGCAAGGAATTGACCAAGGACTGTCAATGACTTGGTATTCATTTCGATTTAAAGCTTTCGTGATTGCAAGTATTCATCTTCTTTGGTTCTTTCGGTAAAGTCACGTAGAATGAGAAAAAAAATAACACAATAAAATTCTCACGATGTTTCGGCCACAATGCAAGCGGCCGTCTTCAGGTGAAAGGAACAGACCTGTCGGGACGACAGAGTTTCAATGAACGATGTTAGGATTCGTAGCGACTTTTAAGCTGGTTGGGAGAAGTGAGGCACCTTGACAAAGGGGTTTACATATCAAATAGCTGAGGGATTAGCTTGTGACTGGTCACAGAAATGGCTATGTTAAAGTCAAAACCTACACATCCACAGAGGCAACAAGTAATTTAGCATTGAAATAGCTAAGGGATTAGCTTGTGCAAATTGCTGAGGGATTAGCTTGTGACTGGTCGCAGAAATGGCTATGTTAAAGTCAAAACCTACACATCCACAGAGACAACTAGTAATTTAGCATTGAAACAGCTAAGGGAGGATTAGCTTGTGACTGGTCACAGAAATAGATGTTAAAGTGAAGGCCTACACATCCACAGAGCTTCAATGAACGCTGTTAAGATTCGTAGCGACTTTAAGCTGGTTGGGAGAAGTGAGGCACCTTGACAAAGGGGGTTTACATATCAAATAGCTGAGGGATTAGCTTGTGACTGGTCATGGAAATGGCTATGTTAAAGTCAAAACCTACACATCCACAGAGGCAACTAGTAATTTAGCATTGAAATAGCTAAGGGAGGATTAGCTTTTGACTGGTCACAGAAATAAATGTTAAAGTAAAGGCCTACACATCCATAGAGCTTCAATGAACACTGTTAAGATTCGTAGCGACTTTAAGCTGGTTGGGAGAAGTGAGGCCCTTGACAAAAGGGGGTTTGCATATCAAATAGCTGAGGGATTAGCTTGTGACTGGTCACGGAAATGGCTATGTTAAAGTCAAAACCTACACATCCACAGAGACAACTAGTAATTTAGCATTGAAATAGCTAAGGGAGGATTAGCTTGTGACTGGTCACAGAAATAGATGTTAAAGTGAAGGCCTACACATCCACAGAGCTTCAATGAACGCTGTTAAGATTCGTAGCGACTTTAAGCTGGTTGGGAGAAGTGAGGCACCTTGACAAAGGGGGTTTACATATCAAATAGCTGAGGGATTAGCTTGTGACTGGTCACGGAAATGGCTATGTTAAAGTCAAAACCTACACATCCACAGAGGCAACTAGTAATTTAGCAATGAAATAGCTAAGGGATTAGCTTGTGACTGGTCACAGAAAGATGTTAAAGTCAAAGCCTACACATCCACAGAGGCACCTCGTACATGGACGCCAAAGGGGGGCTGCAACAACTCAACTGTCATACAGTAAACCAATGTGAAAAACCTTATTCTAAATTACATCAATATAATAAATGTACTCAATATATTCTTCAATAAGCTGAGCTATTAACATTAACTGGATATACACTACACTATATAATGAATACCATATAGTAAACCAATAAAAACTAAAATATAAACAACCTCAATGTTATATCACAATGTTATATGGTGAAAAAACGGGTGGATTCTTACCTTCCACTTCAGCACCACGGACAGCTACAAGCCCCGTTCAGACGGACGAGTCCATCCATGGTCGGAGCGGAGGAGGAAGGAGGGGAGAAACAGCTGCGAGGCGCTGTTATACTCCATGTTATAAACCATACCATTAACCGTGGTGTGAGAGGTATTAAGAGTCAGTGCCAGCGAAAGAGCTGCGGTCCACCTCTGCGGTACTAAATTCCACTCACCTAGTATCGACAATCAAAGGCATTTCCCTGTCCCCAGACGACCTGCTTGTCAGTTTTGATGTAGTTTCCTTATTCACCAAAGTTCCGGTACCTGACACCATCGCTATCATTGAAGACCTGGTTCATCAAGGACTGCACACTGATGTACCCCCCCCCTGGTGAGACATTGCTTAACCAACACATACTTCACCTGGAATGGAACTTTCTACAAACAAACTGAGGGCACCCCAATGGGCTCCCCCCTATCTCCGGTTGTAGCCAACGTATTCATGGAAAAATTTGAAACTGACGCCATCCAGACTGCCACTCTACGCCCGACCTTATGGAAGAGGTATGTGGATGACACTTTTGTCATCTGGCCACATGGCCAGCCTGCTCTAGACCAATTCTGCGACCACATCAATTCCATACACCCAGCCATCAGATTTACCATGGAGGTCGAAAAAGATGGCAAACTACCCTTTTTGGATGTCTTAATTAAAAGGAGACCTGATGGTTCAATGAGCCACTCTGTCTACAGGAAAGCTACCCATACAGATGCTTACTTGAAACCGGATTCCCACCACCATCCATCCCAGAATAATTCCCTCATCAAGACTCTATACCATAGAGCCCAATGCATTTCCGACCAGGAACACATTACCAGTGAACTCAAGCACGTACACCAGGCTCTCAGAGCTAATGGTTACTCCGACTACACAATCCGCAAAGCCATCACTCCAGTCAGGAGGAAGGATCCTCTTGTGGAGCCACTCAAAACCATCACCTTACCCTACATTGCAGGGGTCACAAAAGAGATCTCCAAAATCCTGAATAAACACAAGATCCAGGTCCGATTCAACACAGTACATAAAATCCGTGATCTGGTTCCATCTGTAAAAGATGCTGTTCCAGACATACAGTACCCGGGCGTTTATAAACTAAAGTGCCTCTGTGGTAGTAGCTACATTGGAGAAACCAAACGACACATCTCGGACCGCATCCGCGAACATAAAGCAGACTTGAAACACGGCAGAACGAACTCCTCTGCCGTGGCAGATCACTGTTATAATTCAGTGGGCTCACATGACATTGACTTCTCCAAGACAGAGGTTCTTTGCAAACCAACCGGCTACTATGAGAGATTCGTTCATGAGGCCATCCACATATACAAACACAGAGACAATTTCAACCGAGAAAATGGATTCTGGCTTAGTAACTATTGGAAAGACGTTTTAAACCATTTCGGTTCTTAATTAATTGTATTTTCCGAGGAACTTCAGACTGCAGCTCTTTCGCTGGCACTGACTCTTAATACCTCTCACACCACGGTTAAATGGTATGGTTTATAACATGGAGTATAACAGCACCTCGCAGCTGTTTCTCCCCTCCTTCCTCCTCCGCTCCGACCATGGATGGACTCGTCCGTCTGAGCGGGGCTCGTAGCTGTCCGTGGTGCTGAAGTGGAAGGTAAGAATCCACCTGTTTTTTCACCATATAACATTGTGATAAAACATTGAGGTTGTTTATATTTTAGTTTATTGGTTTACTATATTGTATTCATTATATAGTGTAGTGTATACCCAGTTAATGTTAATATCTCAGCTTATTGAAGAATATATTGAGTACATTATTATATTGATGTAATTTAGAATTAGGTTTTTCACATCGGTTTACTGTATGACAGTTGAGTTGTTGCAGCCCCCCTTTGGCGTCCATGTACGAGGTGCCTCTGTGGATGTGTAGGCTTTGACTTTAACATCTATTTCTGTGACCAGTCACAAGCTAATCCCTTAGCTATTTCAATGCTAAACTACTAGTTGCCTCTGTGGATGTGTAGGTTTTGACTTTAACATAGCCATTTCCGCGACCAGTCACAAGCTAATCCCTCAGCTATTTTATATGCAAACCCCCTTTTGTCAAGGGCCTCACTTCTCCCAACCAGCTTAAAGTCGCTACGAATCTGAACAGCGTTCATTGAAGCTCTGTGGATGTGTAGGCCTTTACTTTAACATCTATTTCTGTGACCAGTCACAAGCTAATCCCTTAGCTATTTCAATGCTAAACTACTAGTTGCCTCTGTGGATGTGTAGGTTTTGACTTTAACATAGCCATTTCTGCGACCAGTCACAAGCTAATCCCTCAGCAATTTGCACAAGCTATTCCCTTAGCTATTTCAATGCTAAATTACTAGTTGCCTCTGTGGATGTGTAGGTTTTGACTTTAACATAACCATTTCTGTGACCAGTCACAAGCTAATCCCTCAGCTATTTGATATATAAACCCCTTTGTCAAGGTGCCTCACTTCTCCCAACCAGCTTAAAAGTTGCTACGAATCCTAACATCGTTCATTGAAGCTTTGTCGTCCCGACAGGTCTGTTTCTTTCACCTGAAGACGGCCGCTTGCGTTGTGGCCGAAACGTCGTGATAATTTTATTGTGTTATTGTTTTCTCATTCTACGTGACTTTACCGAAAGAACCAAAGAAGACTTGGTATTCATGTTAAGAAAAAGTGCACGGGTGGGAGAAGCAGCATACTAGGTGGACTGCACTCTGAACCCGGAGACGTGAGTGAGCTTCCAGGTCACGGCTAAGATCAGTGGCAAAACAAGATCTGAAAAGGTCCTGTGCCTCCACTTCACCAACCCACACTGAACGAGGGGAAGAAGCAACCAAATAACCCCCACAACAGACATATCACACGGAGGTCCTTAACAGCTGCAAAATGTCAAGGGCTGTGAAGCATCGGTAGTATTATGACTCAAGGCATCGCTAACGTCACCATTATACTCACAACATCACTTGAATCGAAGAAGTCGTCTTCAGTGATTGAGGCATTTTGCCGAGCTCCACTCACACTGACATCGTCAGTATTGGCCCCACATTGACTCCGAGCTGAGCTTTCACTCTGCATGAACGTCTCCAGTAACGTGAGGAGATGAGCACCCTTAGCTGCTGAGCTGGATAAGGTCGTGGAAGCTTCAGAAACACTCGGGCCTAAGTGAAGGCAACACAAAGAGTGCGCAAGTTACGGTCCTGTTTCTCATTCTTCTCTCTCACTCCTCTCTGTCGTTTCTGGAGTGGGAGAGGGGGCACGCTTGGAATTACACCGAGAGACGGACAGAGGAACGCATGCTAAGAAGAGCGGGCTGAGGCAGGACATGTCCTTGGCAGGGAAGATGGCCGGTCATCGAGACTGGCAAAGGAGTGGCAAAACAAAGTGTAGGAAACAAGCCCGATATAGGTCAATGCCATTTAAAATGATTCGTTAATACATTAATTGAAAATGAACACTTTTTTGTCGGTGTACGTATTGTTTATTTCGTTATTATGTCTGATGACCCGCAGGGGAGGCAGACCCTCCTACTGCCCCTCCCTCACATTTCCCAGTCGCCCCTCCACTCCTCGCCACAGCATCACCTCACACACCCACCCCAGTGGCGAGATATTAACTCTCTCAGGAGGTACACAGGTCGTGGGTTCGATCCTGACCGTGACACTTGTATAACTTAAGTTTCCATGTTCTCCCTGTGGTCGCGTCCATTTTCTCCAGGTCCTCTAGTTTTTCCCTCCACATTTAGAATCAACATGTGTTTAGTGTATTCGGCTGCTAGAAATATCCACGTGATAAGCCACTTACCGTTGAGCTATCATTTGTGGCCAAGTCGCTTCTGAAAAAAAGCCTTACCTTATAAAATTATTACATTTTTGTTTAGTTTATAAAATGGAATTTTATGGGAAAAAATGTTTCCATTTACAATTTTTCCCTTTACATTCAGGTTTTCAGGAACACAACCCAAACGTATATTGAGGTATGCCCACATCTGTCAACTTACACTGAGAGATGGGGGGGAGTACAGAAGTGTACCTGCACACTAGGAGCAGCAACTAATCTGCACGTGGAGCAACAACCAAACTAGGAACACGTTTTCACCATTAGAGCAATGCAGAGTTATTACAATCGCGCTACCAAAGGTGCACCACGCTACACTGATGTAACACTGCATCTGTGTGGAACGCTTGCACCCAAAGGCTCGTGCAATCGTATTCGGGACATTTTCAGTCAACCTCTGCTAGTTTAGAGGGAGAGTTGATGGTGATTATGAAGCAGTTGGTATTCTTAGGCTTCAAGTCTTCCGTAGATGGAAGTGTGCAGGTAACATCAAGACGACCGCACCGCTATAAATTACAGACTTCCAAGTTAATACTCCAGCAACAAGAGGCGAATATGAAGAAGCAAACCACATGTATGAAACATTTTGCCAACCAGCTCTGGAATATTGTACACACCACAGAACCACCACGTGGAGTCACCTCACCAGGCAAGTGTCCCCAGAATTATACAGCCAGGAAGATGCACAAGACAAAGCCACCGCACTATTAACTATTTAACTGAGCTACGTAGCTCTTTTTCAGAAGTGACCTGGCTACAAATGATAGCTCAATGAAGTGGTTTATCACATGGAAATGTATAGCAGCCAAATACTCTAAACCAGTGGTTCTTATCCTGGGTGCACGTACCACCAGGGGGTGTGAGATACCCTTTCTGGGGGTGCGAGACATGCCAGATTTTTTTAGAAGGTAATCATCGAAACACAAATTAAGCACGGCCACATAAGCCCAACTACTTTCTTTCATCAAACCTATATATGTATTAACATTATCTTTAAAAAAATTCGATTCAGAACCAAAGGGGTGCAAGGTTGCAGTAAAGGTTAAGAACCGCTGCTCTAAACGCATGTTTCTAAATGTGGAGGGAAAAACTGGAGGACCAGGAAAAAAATCCACACGACCACGGGGAGAACATGCAAACTCCAAATAAACAGCAGGTGTCAGGGTCGGAATCAAACCCACGACCTCCTGCATACCAAGCGAGGTCGTATGATCTCGCAACCATGGCGCACGTTCTGCGACACCATCGCACGTCTCTGTCTCTTCCTCCCAGTGATCCCGAGCGCTACCGGTGTCGTCGTGTCACAAGACAGACTCAATTTGCATCTCTTGCAGAGAAGTGCATCACCCCATCAGAGAACAGCCCAAAGCAGCAGATCTTATATAACTACTTCTGAGATGCCTGCAATTGAGCTCTGGTCCATATGTAGTGACTGACTCAGAGACACTAAGAGTAGGAGGAACTCTGGTTTATTAACACGGCCTGACAGTAACACTTAGTAACTACAGTTCCCAGTTAGGACAGCTGGTAGACTACCTGACTGGCGACGCCGAGATGGTGAAGACGGAGATGACGGTTTAAACTCCAGCAGCACGACGGGATCCCACTCCATACGACAGCCCCGAGGGTCCCCTCCCAGGGCCCCTCTTATACTGTCAGCGTGGCCTGGCTCCGCCCCGAGCCACGCCCCCTTCTGGAACCTTCCAGCGGGTTCTCGATGTGACCCTTCCATAACCTTTCCCCTAGATCAATCTCCGGTCTATCACGTGGCCTGCTGTCAGTCAGGGCTGCTGTGAACTACAGATCCCCTTCCCTGCCAGCAGCCAGCGCTATGCTGCGATGTGACTGTTTCTATGTCACTACACATACAACAGGGGGCAGCAATGTCACACCCGCCCTGCTGCAGAGCAGCGCCACATCTATCACCATGGAAAAAAGGTGATCCGATCCCCAACCCCCAGGAACAGGATTGCAGATTTTCTGAGCATTTCTGTGAGGTCTTGCGGGAGGGGAAATCCCTCAGCCTGGAAAACATCTTTGGGAAAAGTGGGGATGACCCTGCTGAGGCTACGGTGCCTACAATATTGGAAGTTTCGATTTAAAGCTTTCGTGACTGCAATGATTCATCTTCTTTGGTTCTTTCGGTAAAGTCACGTAGAATGAGAATAAAATAATACATTGATAAAATAAAATAACACAATAATATTCTCACAATAATATTTTCATTCTACGTGACTTTACCGAAAGAACCAAAGAAGATGAATATTGGAAGTATTCACCTCCTGTGAGTGGCTGGTTGAGGTTGCATCTTTTGAGGAAGTACAGAAGGTGATCCAGAGTCTGAAACCAGGAAAAGCACCGGGCAGAGATGATCTCCCAATCGAAAAGCTGAGGGAGGATGGCATTTGTGCGTAGACTTCCCTACATGACATCATAATAACAGTCTGGACCTCAGTCTGGAGACGGGTTCCGCAGGATTGGAAGGATGCCCTGGTGGTCCCTCTCTTTAAGAAGGGGGACCACACAGACTGTAACAACTACCGGGGCATCTCCCTCCTCAGTGTGTCGGGAAAGGTCCTGGCAAGGATCATTCAACATCACCTTGCCAGGCATGCTGAAGAGAAGCTTGCGGAGCCCCAATGTGATTTCAGGAAAGGGCGGTCCTGCACAGATGCCAAATTTTATGTCCGTCTGCTACAGCAGAGGTGTAAGGAATTCCAACAGGACCTACATCTTTGCTTTATTGACCAGGTCAAGTCCTATGATACCATCAGTAGGCCTGGGCTCTGGGTTGTTCTTCGTGCTTTCGGAGTCCCCGACTCTCTGCTCACAATCATTAAGGACCTTCATGATGGTGAGCAAGCCAATGGTAAAATTACTTGGCCGGGAGTCGGAGCCATTACCTTTTGACCACGTAGTTCGTGAAGTCTTCGATGGCTGTACCGGAGGAATTTCCATCTGGTACAGATACAATGGGAGGCTAATCGATGCCCGGGTGCGGTCAAACGATGGCTCCCTATTGGTCAACCATTTTATGTATGCCGATGATGGTGACTGCTGCTCACTCAGAGGAGGAGTTGGGGGTGCTGCTGCTGAATCTGGAGCATGCCACTAAGAGGTGGGGCCTTACCATCAGCCCCACCAAAACTAAGCACCTGCCTGGGTATTTTGTACTGTCAGACACTCCGCCCCCACAATCCCCGATTGGTGATGGGGCAGTTGTGGAGAGAATAGAGAGTTTTCCATACCTGGGCAGTGTGCTCATGACTGGCTCCGGTTTGACAGCAGAGGTCTCACTTCGAATCAGCCGAGCAGCATTATCTTTTCATCGGCCGCGTAACGTTGTGTGGAAGCTATCTGGTCTGTCTCTCAACACTAAGCTTCGGGTCTTCTCGTCCATGGTCATGTCCTCCCTTCTCTATGCTTGCGAAACGTGGACCCCCCTAATGGAACATCATCGCCGGTGAAAAACATTTAGGCTGGCCTGCCTACGATCCATCCTGGGTTTAACCAGGCAGAATTGTGTGAGAAGCTCACAAATATTTGAAAGATCTGGACAAAGTTTCATCGGTGAGCTCCTCCGGCAGGCAAGGCTGCAGTGGCTGGGTCATGTAGCCCGCATGCCCAGCCACCGCATGCCTAAATAGCTTTTGTTCGGACGAATAGAGGGCGCGGCACGGGCTAGAGAAGAGATGGAGTGATGTGGTACAGGAGGACGTGGAGCTGAAGGAACTTGCCTATGACTGGTACCAGTGGTGTCAACATCGGCCTCTATGGAGGAGGCTTGTGAAGGATGTTACTGGGCAGTTGAAGGCAGTCGCCCTACCGCAACAACAGAGGGCAGAGGAGTGATGCTCACAACAACGAGCGAAACGCTGGGTGGCTAAAACACAGCAAATTGATACAGTAGAGGGCACAGGCGGTGCATCAGCCAGTCATCTTAGTCAGTCGAATGATGGCACCTGGGTCTGCCCCGTGACCTCCGGCCAGCAGGCGTTCGACACTTAACGTGGCCTTAACGTGCACATAGCCTGGCACAAGCGCCGTGGTGATGTCACTGCCACTTAGTGGCGAATGGCGGTTATTTTTGTTATTTCCACAGAGCATAACGATCGCCGCACGAGTCAAACCGATATATGGATGCATTACATCTGGAACTAGACTACGTCTCAATTGCTATTATTTTCGCACGGCTATTTATTTAACCCATTACGCTTTTTAATTATGACAGAGGCAGAGAAAAAAATCACTAAGACGTGAGAATCACCCATAATAAGAGTTTTTTTTTGGGTTAGAGCACGTAAATATAAATGTTGTTAAACCCACCAGGTTTGTCACGTTAACAAAACATGCAAATTCGCTATTAGTACAGCACACCGGTGTCTTGGAGAGTAAACCAACAAAATTTACAATTCGAGTACGACGTTTCACCGGTAATTACAACCAGCATCATCAGGCGACAGCCAGAGTTGTGGAGAAATCCTCCTCCTGTTTCGGTCTTAAATAGAGAATCGCGCTCGATTCCCGAGAGCAGAACCGTTACCGGGCGAATGGATGCACGCTCCGCAGCTGCCACAGGCGGTGCAGCTGTTGGCACTGATGGCGTCGCAGTCTCCGCAAAGCCACGCGCACGGCCGCGGAGCCCTCTGCAACCTACGGTGTGGGACAAAAGCGTTAAGTCAGAGCGCCGTGTCAATCCACTACTGAATGAAGGCCTGCCCACGCCATCAACATACGCACCATTTGCAATCATATGGTGTTTAAATGCAACGGCGTCTCAAGTTGCTGGACAGAAACAGTGTTAATGGTTACATCGCAGAGAGGCAGCGAGTCAGGCACAAGGTCAATAGCACGAGAGCAATACCCCGGTTTATGTCGGGGATACATTCCTGAAAGGTACGATGACATATCGAAACGACGTCAATCAAAGCAATTTACAGGGCAGATGGAGGCGAAAGTCAAGGTGATGGATACGAAAGAGGAAGGATGATGCTGTCAGCAACGTGTGGGTTGAGGCGACGCAAATCAGGTAGTTGTTTAAAAAAAGTGACAAAGTATTTGCGAAACGATGTAAAAAGGGGGAGACTTAAATCAGGGTATTGGAGTTGGGTAGAGAGACAAAACATTCACCAAACGGAGCCAAGTGCATGTGCAGTGCTGAGCGAGGCCTGCGAGCCGTACCGTGAGACGTGGCGATGCACAGCTCTGCTGCACTCATAGGCATCCATGGCCATCCTGCACAAAGCACCAACACAAGCAATGCTCCTTACACTGCCAAGTGGCATCACAGTCAAGTGTCAATTTCATGTAGATTCACAAAATCAAATCATCCCTTGTTCATACACTGTGGGATCATGCATGGCATCCTCATGCCGGCCACAGGATTTCTAGACCATACTTCACCACGTTGGTCAGTGCAGGTAGCTGAATGGGGAGGTTGAGCCGCGTCAGGCATTACTCACCATTGATATTAGCCGTGGCCAGGATATGAAACTCAAGTGGCTGGGTTCGGACCACCGTAAGATCACCACTGCACCACCACTCCACCCCAGATAAGTTACAGCAATACCCCGTTTTACGTCTCCCCCTTTTACGTAATTTCGCAAATACGCTGTCACTTTATTAACACCGCGACCTGATTAGTGTCGCCTCAACCCCACACTTACGTCGCTGACATGGTCCGTCCTTTCTCCATACCTCTCAACCCATACGGTTTACCCATGTAATGATGACTTTGACACACTTGTCTTGAGATGGTTTCTTCATTTAAGGAGCCATGTGCTCACACTTGGGACAGGCGGAGACCCCACTGCAACAGCCGAGTCTCGAGCGCATCTCCCTTATATAGTCCCGAGGCCACGCCTCCAATACCGAACCTTCTCACTGGTTCTAGACTGCTCGCTCTACCAGCAGACTCTACCGTCCTCTTCCGTCACCTGGCCACTCCTATTCTGAATCATTCCCGTAGCCACCAGTCCATTTGTACTGCAGACCAACTTCACTGTCATTACCTCCCATGGCCATTAGTCCACTCACACCGTAAGTTGACTCTACTGTTATTATACCCGTAATTTTATACAGGGAAATTTAGTTTTCAGGTCCATACGGCATACAGCAGTTTCAAAACGGTCAAAAAAATGTCTATTTGTTTGTGTTTCTCCTTTGTGATGGAACTTTGTAGCATGAACGTTGAGTTTCGATTTAAAGCTTTCGTGACTGCAAGGATTCATCTTCTTTGGTTCTTTCGGTAAAGTCACGTAGAATGAGAATAAAATAATAAATTGATAAAATAACACAATAAAATTCTCACGACGTTTCGGCACAACACAAGCGGCCTTCATCAGGTGAAGGGACGAGACTGTCTGGAGGACAGCGCTGGAGTGAAAAAGCCACGCTCAGATCGCGACCTTTAAGCTGTGTGAGAAGAAACAAAGCGCCTTGACAAAGGAATTAGCATAGAATTTAGCATTGAAATAGCTGAGTGATTAGCTTGTGACTGGTCACAGAAATGGCTATGTTAAAGTTAAAGCATACACATCCACAGAGGCACCCCTTGACAAAGGAATTAGCATAGAATTTAGCATTGAAATAGCTGAGTGATTACCTTGTGACTGGTCACAAGCTAATTGAGGGTTGCAGTGATTTCAGATCTTGCTACGTCTGCAGAGATGTGACTCAAGCCCTTGAGTGCAATGTCGACATGGGCAATGATATCATTAACCGGTATGTGTCTCGGTGTGACAGCAAAGTTTAGACCTTTAGCTAAAACGGATTTCAGACCATCAGAAATGGAACTGTTACTGCGATTAATTACGACTTTGTTGACGTCTATGTTTTCGGTGTGTGGATCCGATTTTTTGTTGGAGAGGTGATTGAATTTGGAAATCAAATTGTCCCTACATTTGGTCGACATAGTGGCAGCCGAAGAGGTAGTCATATTGTCTACATGTTCCCAATCCGATGTAGACATTGTTGCTGTCAATGTTAAGTGTGATTTGTAGAGTGTCTTGTCTAACTGATCGAGTTCGGTGCGTGCAAGTCTGATTTTTTCCGAGATAAGAGCGAAGCTAGTTCTAGCTAGAATTCGTTTTGCATTGAGAGAAGTTGCAGCAGCAGAGGTTAGTGTCCCCAGACGACCTGCTTTTCAGTTTTGATGTGGTGTCCTTGTTCACCAAAGTCCCGGTACCTGACACCATCGCTATCATTGAAGACCTGGTTCATCAAGGACTGCATACTGATGTACCCCCCCTGGTGAGACATTGCTTAACCAACACATACTTCACCTGGAATGGAACTTTCTACAAACAAACTGAGGGCACCCCAATGGGCTCCCCCTATCTCCGGTTGTAGCCAACGTATTCATGGAAAAATTTGAAACTGACGCCATCCAGACTGCCACTCTACGCCCGACCTTATGGAAGAGGTACGTGGATGACACCTTTGTCATCTGGCCACATGGCCAGCCTGCTCTAGACCAATTCCGCGACCACATCAATTCCATACACCCAGCCATCAGATTTACCATGGAGGTCGAAAAAGATGGCAAACTACCCTTTTGGATGTCTTAATTAAAAGGAGACATGATGGTTCAATGAGCCACTCTGTTTACAGGAAAGCTACCCATACAGATGCTTACTTGAAACCGGATTCCCACCACCATCCATACCAGAACTCCCTCATCAAGACTCTATACCATAGAGCCCAATGCATTTCCGACCAGGAACACATTACCAGTGAACTCAAGCACGTACACCAGGCTCTCAGGGCTAATGGTTACGCCGACTACACAATCCGCAAAGCCATCACTCCAGTCATGAAGAACGAGCCTCTTGTGGAGCCACTCAATACCATCACCTTACCCTACATTGCAGGGGTCACTAAAAAGATCTCCAAAATCCTGAATAAACACAAGATCCAGGTCCGATTCAACACAGTACATAAAATCCATGATCTAGTTCCATCTGTAAAAGATGCTGTTCCAGACATACAGTACCCGGGCGTTTACAAACTAAAGTGCCTCTGTGGTAGTAGCTACATTGGAGAAACCAAACGACATATCTCGGACCGCATCCGCGAACATGAAGCAGACTTGAAACACGGTAGAACGAACTCCTCTGCCGTGGCAGATCACTGTTATAATTCAGTGGGCTCACATGACTTTGACTTCTCCAAGACGGAGGTTCTTTGCAAACCAACCGGCTACCATGAGAGATTCGTTCATGAGGCCATTCACATATACAAGCACAGAGACAATTTCAACCGAGAAGATGGATTTTGGCTTAGTAACCATTGGAAAGATGTTTTAAACCATTTCCGTTCTTAATTAATTGTATTTTACGATGACCTTCAGACCGCAGCTCTTTCGCTGGCATTGACTCTTAATACCTCTCACACCACGGTTAATGGTATGGTTTACAACATGGAGTATAACAGCGCCTCGCAGCTGTCTCTCTCCCCCTCCTGTTCCGACCATGGATGAACTCGTCCGTCTGAACGGGGCCCGTAGCTATCCGTGTTGCTAAAGTTGAGGGTAAGAATCCACCCATTTTTTTCGCCATATAGCATTGTGATATATAACGACTTATTGTTGGTAGCTTAACTGATTGGAGAATATATAGAGTTTATTGATAACATTGAGGTAATTTATATTTTGTTTTTTTATTGGTTCACTATGTAGTATTCATTATATATTGTAGTGTATACCCAGTTACTGTGAATAGCTAAGATGTGTAGGCTTCGACTTCAACATAGCCATTTCTGACCAGTCACAAGCTAATCACTCAGTTATTTCAATGCTAAATTCTGCTAGTTATTTCAATGCTAAATTCTCCTGTTTGATTTGTACTAGGTGCCTCTGTGAATGTGTATGCTCTGACTTTAACATAGCTATTTCTGTGACCAGTCACAAGCTAATCACTCAGCTATTTCAATGCTAAATTCTATGCTAATTCCTTTGTCACGGGGTGCCTCTGTGGATGTGTATGCTTTAACTTTAACATAGCCATTTCTGTGACCAGTCACAAGCTAATCACTCAGCTATTTCAATGCTAAATTCTCCTGTTTGATTTGTACTAGGTGCCTCTGTGAATGTGTATGCTCTGACTTTAACATAGCTATTTCTGTGACCAGTCACAAGCTAATCACTCAGCTATTTCAATGCTAAATTCTATGCTAATTCCTTTGTCACGGGGTGCCTCTGTGGATGTGTATGCTTTAACTTTAACATAGCCATTTCTGTGACCAGTCACAAGCTATTCACTCAGCTATTTCAATGCTCACACAGCTTAAAGGTCGCGATCTGAGCGTGGCTTTTTCACTCCAGCGCTGTCCTCCAGACAGTCTCGTCCCTTCACCTGATGAAGGTCGCTTGTGTTGTGGCCGAAACGTCGTGAGAATTTTATTGTGTTATTTTATCAATTTATTATTTTATTCTCATTCTACGTGACTTTACCGAAAGAACCAAAGAAGATGAACGTTGAGATTTATAAGGCTCTGATAATGGGTTAACAGGTATGTTTCTCGTATGCGTCACCTCGACCTTCATCTCCACCTACCCTGCAAATCGCTTTGATGTCATTTCGATATTCGTCATAGCACCTTTCAAGAACGCATCCCCGATGTAAACCGGGGTATTACTACTGTTTAAAGGCAGACCAGAGGAACGTTTATTTAGTTATCATTACGATAATGGAGCAAGTTTGAGTTTGTTACTCTGTTTTGTCTGTCCGGAATATAAAACAATTAAAAGCCCATTCTTTGAGCACGTAACATTTGTGAAAGATTATTCAATTATACTCTTTGCTTCTTTTGGTAAAGTCACGTCGATTCAATTAAGTATTGATTTAATGTATTTTTGGGAAAATACATGTCAGGAAAAATGTTGATTTAACATTTGGGAAAGATTATATCCAGTTTGCAAACCGGTTTACAAGACCGGATCAAATGTGACACACATTAATTTATGACACAGAAACTTCATTTACGATCCATCTTTCAACGTGACTGAACACATTTTAACAGTGATGTTTCTATTGTGCAACTTTGTAGAAAGTTGGCGAGTTTTTGTTTTCAAAAGGTCAACTCATTTAAGCACAGTAAGGAAGAAGGCAAGGTGGAAACATTAAAAATGCGTAGTAACATCTGGGTTATCACTGTATGGTGCCGGCCCGGGAGGGTCGTTGCGTGCGATGTTCCTACGTCGCGGACAGCACTGCTGTGTAATGCCGGCTTTACTATAGCATGGCGTGCGATGCACCGTCATCGTGTACACCCCGTAGATGGGTGTAGTACCAGCCCGAGCGGGGCTTGGTGAACACTGAGATAGCGCGGGCACCGCGCATAGTGTGTAGCGCGGGCTCCCACAAGGGAGAGCAGGAGAGTGTCAGCCCAGGGACAGGGTTGCCCCGGGCCGTGGCACTCTGGTTGACCCCGTAGACACGTTATCCAGTGTCCACAGAGAGGGCCCCAGGTGGGGGGGCTAGAGGGTGATCACGTGTCCGGGGAGAGCTCTCGAGAGGGATCGAGAGGGAGCTAGAACGCTCAAGAAGGCGGGCGGGGCCTTGGCAGAGCCAGCCCCGACCCAGGAGGATATAAGGTGGGTCCCTGAGAGGGACCGGGATCGCTGCATTCTACAAGCTGGAAGCTCCACGTTCTACAAGCTGGAAGCTCTACGTCCTACAAGCTGGAAGCTCTACGTCCTACAAGGCATCAACACGTGGCCAGGGCCCGAGTGAGGGTCCGACCCTTCGTAGCTGTAACTCCTCCATATAGTGTAGTTAGCTGGGTGGTCACCACCCTAGGCTGTATCTGGTAAAGGGGCAGTTACCCCTTTGCGTATTAAGGGTTGATATAATAAATGTGTTGCCTCTAAAGAATAACGTCTGCGACTCAGTTGGACTCGCTACAAATGAATGTCAATTTCAGTAAAAAAATAAATGTCATGTTCAGCACTGCACTCGGGGGACATACGCACCTCATGGCGGGACCCCGGGGTCCCAAATAAATGCAAGTCAAAATCACGATTAATTAATTACTTATTTTTTTGCGACTCCGTCTCACACAAACACCGCGACCCACCTGGCGCGGATCATTCTGTTGTCATCTCATCCAAGCGCAGTGAGGACGAATGCGCAGAAGAGCTGAACAAGTGAATGCACTCCATGCTCGGGTATGGGCAGGATCATAAGTCTTATGCAAAGCTCCTCAAACTGCCTACACGACTTAAGCCCTTTATTTGTCATAAGAGTATGCATAATACAGTCAAACTGCTCTCTTATCTTCATTACTATTTGTGACCTACCAATGTCTGCAGCCAAGATCAATCGATGACAATCCTATTATCTGCAGATATACATCTGTGCAGATAGTTTTTTTTGCGGTTAAGCCATAGTCCCCACATACCGCTCGTATCAATGCAGATAAGAGGAGCGGCGACCCACTACCCTGTAGAGTAACATTGGTATAAACGCTTGTTACAATATGAACAGCGCATTGAAAACGCGTACTATTTTATGTACTGTTTGTAAAATGTGTTCACAAATCCACACTGAGTAACACAATGATTGACAGAGAGGTGTCAATTATTTTTTCGCTAGTGTATTTAAATATAGGTACTGCAGGTAAGTAGTTTTCAGTTTTAAAGGCATAGTTTAACAAGACAACACTTGCCACCATCATTATGAGACCTCCTTTGCCAGAAACAAGATATAGGAATAGGTTTTACCCTTTTAACTGCCACAAAAACTGACACCTTTATTCAAGGCATCATGTTTGCAATAACCAGAACACAAGCAGTCAAAATGCAAACAAAAAAGACAACTCTGATAATAATATGCACTGTCCTTGAATTTGATTGGTCACACCCGAGACAGCTTTTCTTAGAGCCTAGTCTCCATTGGTGTTGGACCAGAAGACGCCTTTTGAAGAGTCTACAAAAGCTCAGATACAGTGGACAATGAATTCATGAACCATTTCAACCCTTATGGATTTCCACCTCACTTGCTCAAACTGAAGGTTGGCCTCCTGCACTATGCTCCTTCGGGATTTCGATGCAAGCAATGGCCACTGCAATGGCCACTGCAATGGGATATGCTACATCATCTGAACAAGGAAGAATCACATGACCATCGAAGGCGCGGTTTTGCAAGTGGACTCTATAGAAGAGTCTCGAATATGGAAGTGACAGGAGTCGTGTATACAAGTTAATGACTGCTCCACACGCAGACTGTGCGGCAGTGCTGTTAGCCGCTATGAACGCGCAGGCGGGTGGCCAGCACCACGCCCGGCCGCCTTTGTCTCCCTAGTGGCCATGTTTACTATACACCGCAGCAGGTACTCACTTGAGGCAGTCGACAGTTCAACATACATACGTACATACACACACTGCACACACGAATCACTCACCCACACGCTCTCCATGTGTCACACGCACGCACCTCTTGCACATTCCACGTCACTTCACTCACATATCATAGCAGGTACACACACCACTTACAATCACTTAATACCCGTTACACACCCCGCCTAACAGCCACCATTCGCACTTGAGTGGCGGTGACGTCACTGCAGAACTTGTGCCAGGCTAGGTGCACGTTGCGGCCACGTGAAGAGTGGAAGGCTCACTGGCGGGTCGCGGGAAACCCGCCAGTGAGGTGACTGGCGCAACAGCAACCCCTGTTCGCTACTAAGTGGCGGTGACGTTACCACAGCGCATGTACCGGGCTATGTGGAAAAGACAAGATCCCCTGTGTAGCTTTAACAGGCTAGTAGCACCTATCAAGGCCTGCACGGCACACGAGGAGGTGGGTGTCCAACACCACGCCCGGCCGCCTTTGTCTCCCTAGTGGCGATGTTTACACACCGCAGCAGGTACTCATTTGAGGCCGAGTCGACCTCGGGAGGCCAGGACCGGCTCAGATAATCGTCACTGGTTGTGGCCGTGAGCAGAAATCGAACTCGGTTCAACGGGTTCGTAACGCGCAAGCCGTTAAACTACCCTTCCCCACTGAGGAAAAGACACAAACACACACACCCACGTTACAAACCCTTGCATTTATGTTAGATTAATCCTTATATTAACTTTAAACATTACATCTCAGCGAATTAAATTAACTTACAATCTTTATTCCGTTGATGTCGCCGTTCCTGCGACGAGGCCCGTGAGAGGAGGCGTCGCCTCGAGGTTAAGGCCTCAGGTCTTTCATTGTTAACACAACAGATGCACTCCCTGACAATCAGCCACGGATTACTTAACCATGCTCTCTGGCATACAATCACACCCTGACAAGTACACGCCACACACGCCACGCACACACCATGCACACTCCACGCGTGACTAAACCACGCGCACACGCAAATATAAATCCAACTCGCTCTTCCGGCGGCAATATCGCGTGCGCGGTCACGTGGCTCGCGCCGCGGGGCGTGGCCTCCAGCACTGTGTCACTCAGTATCACTCAGTGTCATTGTCACACAGATTTGTCAAAAATTATTTTTATGGATTAACAGGGCCCAAAGTAGATTTACTTTTGCATCAAGTGATCTTAGATTGCATTTTAAGTTTATGTCACAATGGTGGGTCCTGTATGGTACATCAAGTGCAAACGAAGAGCAGAATCCACTGCAGGATCAAGGACTGTAAGCTATGTAGCTCTTTTTCAGAAGCGACCTGGCCACATATGATAGCTCAACGATGTGGCTTACCATGTGGAAATGTATAAAAGCCACATACTCTAAACGCATGTTTCTAAATGTTGAGGGAAAACCTGGAAAACCCGGAGAAAAATCAATGCAACCACTCATACAAATATACAGACGTCAGGGTCGCGATCGAACCCACGACCACCTGTATACCAGGCGTGATAGTTAACATATCCCCATCGTGGCGACGTCAGCATAGTACTTGTGCCATGCTAGGTGCACTTTGAGGCCACGTGAAGTGTCGAAGGCCCACTGGCAGGTCACGGAAAAGACCAGGTGACATGGGTTGACTGACTTGAGAGACTGGCAGATGAACCACCTGTGCTCCTCACTGTGCCAATTTTCTGCGCTTTAGTCACACGGCACTCTGCTGCACATTGCTGTGAGCGTTGCTCCTCTGCTCTCTCGTAAGTGTCTGGAGGGCGACTGCCTCCAGCTCCCCAGTAGGGTCCTTCACAAGCCTCCTCCACAGAGACCGATCTTGTCATCGGCAAGTCCAGTCAGCTCCACATCTTTCTGGACCAAAATCGTCCATCTCTTCTCTATCCCGTGTCGTGCCCGTCTAGCCCCCTCTATCCGGTCAAACAGAAGCTGCTTGGGCATGCGGGTCGGATTTCACAAATGGGAATGTGTCCAGATCTTCACAACACAGATCTCCCGTATAGTCTCTAACAGACTGTCGGGGAAATTGCTATTAGCGAGCACCTATGAAGATCGCATGGCACACCAGGGAGTTGGGTGGCCAGCACCACGCCCGGCCGCCTTTGTCTCCACAGTGGGGATGTTTTTTACACAACGCACCAGGTACTCATTTGAGGCCGAGTCGACCTAGAGGAGGCCCGGGACCGGTTCAGATAATCGTCACTGGCGTTAGCGGGAATCGAACTCGGGTCACCAGGTTCATAGCGCAGTGCGTTAACCGCTACGCCGCCACGTCGCCGGCGCGAGACGCTCTGGATGGGGGTGACGTCATGTCATCTCCGCACCGCGACTCCACATGACGTCACGAGGCTGGTAAATGAGCAAAGACCTGAGGTTAAAATTTGTTCTTTGAAACAGATTGGAGATCCAGCAGGTAGTCTGCGGATTTCTTTTGTAAGTACATCGTGAATAAATAAGATCTGGTGCACAAGCCGTCGAACATGAAGAGATATTAAGTTTGACCCAATGTAGAGATCACAGTGGTGAATCCTATATGGGCAGTTCAATGCAAATCTTAAGGCCGAGTGATAGATGGAATCAAACTTCTTCAGTACAGTACTTGGGGCTGATTTATACACGATATCACAGTAATCGAGTACAGGCAGTATGGTAGCTTTTTCAATTCCAAACGGAACATAGGGGGGAAGCAGTGCTTGTGTTGATGCAGAAAATCTATTTTTATTTTGTCTTTTTACCAATATAATCAATGTGTTCATAATAAAGGGTTTTGGGTTAGATCGCGTTATTTATAAATGTGTCATAACCCTCCACCACCCGACACGGCCAATCAGCAAAATAAAGTGTCACGTTGACAAAAGACAATTAGTTCACTACTTTAGCCCACCGGTGTGTTGAAGAGTGAATCCACAACATTTACAGTTTGAATACGACGTTTCGCTGGTAATTACGATTTTTTAAAATGTATTCAGTGTCTTAGCGGAGAAACAAAACAAAGCAAAAACCGAGGGGCCGCCCCCTCCCTCGCACCGCGAAGGCCCCGCTCGGCCACCGACCCATCCGCAGGACCGGAATCGCCCCCGACACAGCACTCGCCACATCTGTGCCTGTAGGGGCTGCCTCCCCTCCAACCACGCACGCCCTCTCCCCCGGGCGCCAGCAAAAGGCACCCCCCCCCCCCCCGGCCACCCTAACCCACCCTGGGTAGCGGCCACTTCCATCTTTCCCTTGCGACTTCGTGTCCCAGTCTCACCCGGTCCACCTCCACCACCCTCTCCAACAACCTCCTTGCCACATAGCATGCCTCCAATGGGGACATCTGGGACCCCTCCAGCTCCTTCTTCCGCGCTTTCCACAAGGCCTCCTTCGTTGCTCCTATTATAGCCCACGCCCGGTCCCTGTCCTCTCTTCCCACACCCCGCAGTTCCCCCCACATAATGTCCCATGTTGTCACCCTCGACAGTGCGAACCGGGCGAACAACGGCTTGCTCCGCCTCCACACCACCTGGGCAAAGGGGCATGCCACCATCACGTGCACTGCACTTTCGTCCCCGTTGCAGCCCCTCGGGCACTTGGGGGTGTGTGCCATTTGGCGGCCGTACATAAAACCCCTCGTCTCCAGCTTGTCCCGGACCGCCAGCCATGACAAGTCCCTCTGTTCCTTCGTGAGTGCCGCCAACGACATGTTTCTCCAAATTTGTCGGTGCACCTCCCTCCTCGCACCTGGCACCTCATCACAGGCCTCCTCTTTCTCCGTCTCGGCCCGCACCTCTCTGGGGGTCCATCGGCCCCCCCACCGGTTCAGGCCGTGCTGCCCAATGTAGTCCCCCACCACGTCACTGATCCAGCCCCCCCGGCCAGTCCAAAGGTATACTCCTCTGTGCCTGGGTCATCCCGAGGCCCCGCAGGCGCCACGTCAGGTGATACCGCATGTAACACGCCGCCTTGCCCCGCGGCTCTGCGGAGAAGAACAGTCTCAGCGCGTTACATACAAAGGTCGAGTTCAGGGTGTACTCCATATTTGGGGCACCCCTCCCCCCCGTTCCCAAGCCCGCATACACAGCACGGCCCTCCTCACCCTCTCCATCCCTCCCCCCCAGATAAACCCGAAAAGCGCCGAGGTCAAAACCTTGACCTCCCTCTTACCAGGTGGGAATAGCTGCGCCAGCTAGCTTAAAGTTGGCAGTATCTCCATCTTCACCACCATAATTCCTGCCAGCCATCGTGAGCCGCTCCCTGCCCACTTACCCAGACGACCCTTTGTCTTCCTTACCCTCTTCTCCCAGTTATGTTCCCCCGACCTATCCCTACAAAAGGTCACCCCTAGCACCATTATCTCTTCTGTCTGTAAGCTCAGTTCCAGCGGCCGACCCTCGAAACAGCCTCGAGTCCCCAAAGGCCATTGAACTCGCTCTTTCTCGCATTGACCTTCAAGCCGGTGGCCGCGCAGAACCTCCCTGTCCCCTCATTGCTCTCCACACCGACGCAACGTCCCTGCACAGCACGGCCACATCGTCCATATACAAGGTTACCTTCCCTTGCTCCTTGTTCCCCGGTATTGTCACCCCCTAATCCTTTGGTCGTCTCTTATTACCTGCGCTTAGAGGCTCCATACTCATAACGAATAGGACCGGGGACATCGGGCATCCTGCTGTACCCCCGACCCTACTTGAATGACCCCCGAACGTTCCCCGTTTATCAAAAGTCTAGCTCTGAGCCCACCATAGAGTCGTACCACCCACTCCACCAGAGGCCCACTCATTCCCATCCTCGCCATTACCGCCAGCATATATCCATGTGAAAGAAGGTCGAAAGCCTTGTCCAAATCCAAGCTCAGAATCCCCAGCGGGCACCCCCTCTCTCTTTCCCCTTCTATTGCCTCCCTCAGTACCACCAAGGAGTCCGCGATCCTCCTCCCCGGGACCGCGCACGTCTGATCCGGCCCTACACCTCCCCCACCACCTTCCCTAATCGCGCCGTGACTATCCTTGCCAAGATCTTGCAATCCGCGTTAGGAGAGTTATCGGCCGCCAGCTTCCCAAGTCCTTACGGTCCCCCATCCCTTTATAAATCAATGTAACCAGACCCTCCCGCATATCATCCGGCACCCAGCCCTCCTCTAAAGTTTCCCTACAAATTTCAGCATGTCCTCCTTCAGGAGCTCCCAGAATTTGACGTAGAAATTTCGCTGGGATCCCATCCGGTCCTGGGGTTCTGTTCCTGTTCAAACCTCTTGACGCCTCTTCCACTTCTCCCTGCCGAATCTTTTTCTCCAGCGTCTCCGGGTTCCCAATCCTCTTCTCCAATGCCACCAGTAGCTCCTCCCGCTTCCCCCATCTATCCCCTTCCTCCCATACAACTCCCTATTAAAATGCTCCGCTACGCTCATCATCCCTACCGTCGTCGTCTGCCTACCCCTGGTAGGACTTACCAATTCTCTCATTGCGTTATCCTCCCTCCCTACCTGTTTTGAAGAAAAACCTCGTGCACCTCTCCCCTTCCTCCGTTGCCCTGACCCTCGCCCTGTACACTAACTGCCTATCCCTTCTTTCCCATACTGAAGCTACCCTCCCTTTCAACTCCTCTATCCTTTCCCCCATCGGGAACCCTAGTTCTAGCAGCCTGTACATTTTCTCCAGCCTGCATTCCACTGCCTCAATTCCCTACCCACTCCCCTCCTCCTACTATGGTGCTGGAAGAGCGTTTTTATCCTGTCCTTTATCTGGCCCCACCATTCCACCCTCATGGGGAACCAGTCCTGCAAGGTCCTCCAGCTTTTGTATTTTGCACGAAGTTCCCCACCACTTTCTGGTCCTCCAACAGACCCATATTTCATTTTCCAAACTCCTTTCCTCTCCTCGCCCCACCTGGGATCGCGAGCCCTTGCCACGACCATGTTGTGGTCCGAGAGGGGAAATGGCTCCACCCCCGCACTTCCCACTTCTACTTGGCAGAGGCGAAAATAAAGTCTATCCGCGGACTGCGTTCCCCTGCTCTTATCTGACCACGTATACCCGGGCGTGCACCATGCACCCTCCTGAATGTGTAT